TCAAAATTTTAATAACTTTAAATTCTATGTTAATTATTACTCATATATTACATTATTGTGACAAAAGTAACCATCACTTGCTCTTTTTAGACACCAAAAGTGGTCGTTCTTACAACAATATAACAATGCCATGTCAACATCAATTAATTCTATATTAATTTCACTGGCAGGTACCAGACCCTGGAATAGACTTCACAATACCCCAATTTCAGTGAAATCAGATGTGTCTTGCATTATTAGTTAGGGGCTCCCTGAGCCTCTCTTGCTTGTGGAATGGCCATTTCACAACTAATTGCAGTTATAAAGACATGGATTAAATCCCTAGGTTACCGGCTACTCAGAGCCATATTTTGGTAATAATTGGTATTGAGGTTCTCAAATCGGTGAGAATTTAGTTGGGGGTTAAATTTCTCTAATTTCAGTGTTTTCAGTGGTACAGTACTTGACCTGACCGATGACAACTTATGTCCAAAAACCATACAAGTGCTCGAGCATTCGAGTTTTTACGGCACTTAATTGAATCACATGCCGCATAAACCTACCGCATTACCACTCATGTTGAATATTATCTTTTGCTGCCAAACTCCTCCTTCATCTCTTACACATAGCCCCCATATATCATTTTCTCATAACCAGTCACTCAGCAGAAGTGTTTGTAAAACTGGTCTCAGATGACTAAGCTGCCTCGCCAAAATGCTACCTTTCAATGAAGTGTTAAGCTGATCGTGACCGTTCACTCCATCGCGACCATGACCATTCACAAATCTACAACCACTGAAGCCTCCTTTACCTAATTAATTAATTTATTAATTTCCTCTACCTTTTTTACCAATGGTTAAGTGTTCTGGAAATACGAAGTATGCCGCAAAAAAAAGACCCCCACCTAAAACCACCCAGAGAGAAATGAGCCTTGCAGAGAAGGATATGATAATCACCTTTTTCTGCTGCCTCCGGAACATTGCCTTGGTGGCTTAAATTATTAGACGCCCATGGACAACAGTTAAGAGCTTTCTTGTCTGGGCATGTGAACGCCAATCTCTTGAAAATCTCTCTTGCCCCAGTCACACCCCCATTTTGAGTAGTCAACAGCATCACACAATTATACAAGCAACCAAGTCCAATCGGAAAATGACCAGATGTACTTTCAGAGATCGCTATATACCCGGTTTTTCTCTTGATACTGGTAACTCTTTATGCTATCCAGAGTGACTAGATATGATTGCCTACTAAATTTGCCTGCATAGTGGACTGAGTACTCAGAGAAGCAAACATTAAAAAATGGATAGCCAAGCCAAGGCCTAGGCTAAAGCCTGATCATATGGCTAAGAGATTGAGATGGGCTACAGCTCATAGGGACTGGACAGCTGAGGATTTTGAAAGAGTGATTTGGAGTGATGAGTACAGTATGGAGAAATCCAAGGATCCAAAGCAACAATGGATATTCAGAGAACCTGCAGAGAAGTGGTTAGCTGATTGTGTACACCCAAAAGAGAAGGATAAGGGAATCCCGCTTATAGTTTAGGGGTGCTTTTGAGGTAAAAGAAAAGGTCTATTAGTTTCTATTACTCAAACTATTCATAAGACCAGGTATGTTAGACTTTTGAGAAGATATCTTTTTCCTGTTATTCATCAAATGATTTCCTTTGATATACAACTTGAAGATGTTCTTTTTTAGCAAGATAATGCTCCTGTTCACAAGGCATATAGTGTTATAGATTGGTTGGAGAGAAATAGTATTGAGGTTGTGGACCACCCCTCTTATTCCCCTGATTTAAATCCTATTGAACATGTATGGGTTGAGCTTAAAAAGCGATTGCACCAGCAGTATCCAAGGATTGCAGATACTCCAGGAGGAAAAGAGGCTGTTAAGAGAAGACTTGCACATGTATTACCATTGGTTTGGGAGACAATTCCGGAGGAGTTTTTTGAGAAGTTGTGGAAATCAATGCCTGATAGTGTGGCTGCAGTTTTAGAAGCAAGGGGAGGTTATACAAAATATTAGCTAGTTTAATGTATGACAGGTCAATTGACCGTTGAACGTTAAGAGATGCCAGTGGTTGTTGATCGTGAACTTGAACTCGCGCACGTACATGCCCATTGACAACCCCACTGGCACTGCCCTACTATATGGCGCAATGTCACAAATATGACTTAGCATGGAAAAGGTTTTCACGTGACACATGGTTATGAGTCACAGGTATGTTATTGTTTTGTGCATATAACTCATTCGGGTTATATGATTTGTTATGTGTGGGATTTGTGATGCTTTCGCACATGGCTCAAATATGAGTCATGGGACATGCGCCTGACGAGTATGCCTTGCGGGTGTGCCTTGCGGGTAAGCCTTGCGCATATGATTAATGTTTTGCACATGACCTCATTATGAGGTCATGGGTTTCATGCATATGACTCAGTCGAGTCATATGACTTGTTTATTGTTTTATGATTGGTTTATGAGTTTTGCACATGACCTCGCTATAAGGTCATGGGTTTTGAGCATGTGATCACTTTGGTCACATGACTAGTTTGTTATGATTTGGTTTTGCGCATGTGACCACTTTAGGTCACATGATTAAAGGCGGGAAGAACACTATATAAGGAGGCCGATGCGGCCGAGGAAGATAGGTTCTTCACGCTTTGTTCTAAGTACTTTTCCTACTTATTACTTTAACGAATATAAAACACCTTTACGATCTTTATCTTTATTGCAATATTATCGTTACGCTAGGAAGCGCTCGTCATGAAGACGAGTTAGAGAAAGCTTACGATAGGCGTTTCCGGTAGAAGACAAAGGTCTTGTACTATCGGTAACGTCGGCAGAGACCTAAAGCTATCGTGAGACAAAGAAAGAAAAAGACAGAAACGATAAGTATCGTTCCCCGTCGCCAAGAACTAATTATCTAGAAAGGGATCGTTACACGTAACTGCAATTAAACATTGTCTCAAATCACGAACACTTCTGCTGAGTGACTGTAGAGCTTCATTCCTTTTCCTAATATGGCAGTTTTCATTTGGTCTTGACCACTGGAGCGGCTAAATCATATAATATGATAGGTTGAGTATCTTAATATGATGCACGCTCCGTCGCTCCTATTTTCCTCCCACATAGTTTGGCAACACCACGTCAACTATCGTGGGCCCCCCCTGACTCCCCTCTGCCCCCTCGATGGTTCCTGCCTAGGGGCACAGTTAACTCTTCTATTCTCTCCCGCTTTGGCCTTGCTTGTCTCTTGTCTGCTTGATGGAGGAGTTATCTGGGCTTGCCCAGTAGTCCTGTCCTGCTAATAGGGGCTCACTTAGCTTTGGCACGGTCAGCTTCCTCTCTTCGCTTCTGGATGGCGCTGGCAGTGGTGGACGTCCTTCTCCCCACTTGCATGATCTCCATTGGGGAACGTCTCGGCTAGTAACTTCGGAGTCTGTCTCGCGGTGAGATTTGACCATACCCTCCTAGTCGCTTGGTCCAAGTTTGGTTGCCTTCCTCACCTCACCCTTCCACCTTCCTACTGCCGGTGGGATCCCTTCCACTAAGTGACGCTATCTCTCGGAGAACAAGGGACTACATGAGAGACACGGTAATACGTCAGTTCGGTCTACGGTTGGGTTTGCACTGGAGCCTTTGGCCCTACCTCCACTTTCCACTTTGGTCGTGTCGGCTCGCACCCTACTGCCTTCCCTCCTTGGCTGGTACCCTACTACCTCCCCCCTCTGCCGCGTGGTGTTCCGGGGTTTCGGCCTGCTGCCTGCCCATAGTCGATCTTTGGCTGGCATCCTACTGCTGGGCGGCATCCCCTCTGCCAAACATCCATTCCTTGGACCTGGCACCGTGGCCTCTGTTCTCGATTGGCAGGCCATGGTATTGCACTACTTCTGTGGCTTAGCTGGTTGGGGGCGCTCGGCCTTAGGGCTCGTCGCCAGCCGCCCACTTCGGGGGCGGTTCTTTAGAAACGGCAAATTTGGTGGTACGTTGAGCAGTTGTTATTTTCCTTTGTGGCCCTTATGGGTCTAGTAGTTTACGGGATAGAGTTTTTCCTTATGCTTTCCTGCCTAGCTTGTTTGATTTCCTTCCTGGTGGCTACGTGTAGTTAGTGGGTGGGGTTTTCTTTTGGGCGAGGAATCTTCTTGGGCTTTTGGTTGGCTTCTAGGCGAGACCCTTTCACGTTCAAGTCGTGAGGCCTGCTGGCTGGGCACCTGAGTTGATCGCCCTTGGAGTGTGTGCAGTTGGGCCCATACCAGAGTGTCTTGGAGGTACGGGTTTTCTCTTGGTCCGGGGTGGAGGGGTTTTCTTAACGCCATAGCTAGCGCTGCATGCGATATTCTTGTACCTTAAACAAGTAACTAAATGATTATAAAAAAATAAAAATAAAAAATATCTTAATATGATGATACTCTCTGGAATTGAGGAGTATTCCAGTGTGGGTGCAATGATGCGTTGAGAGCAGAAGACGAAAAACAGGTTTCATCATCATATAATGGATGAGATCGCTGCTATTCTCTATACGTTCGCGTATTAGGCCTTTCCCTTTTGTTCCCCTCTCCAAGAGTTATTCAAGTTCATACGATACCAAAATACTGTGCTGTACGGTACTAGGTTTCTCTTCCAGTATGATATATATATATATATATCTGCGCTTATTATACAACAGCTCAAATCCTAATCTCAGCCCGAGTGACCCACTGTGACAATGACCCGATCAACTGTGATATCGTAAAAAAGTTAGTACGACCCGACATCTAACATCTTCAAATCCAACCAGATGCGCTGTCAACGCGCACCGACCCGTCAAATGAGATGCAGCTCCCCCTCATTCTCCCATCTACGAGTAAAATTACGATACCGACCCCGAGTACTCCACTCACAATGCCGACTGCTCGTAAAATGATCCACACCCTTGCAGCTAAGCTATACAAATACTTGTACCAGCCCAGCCCACCTCCCACTCCGTCCATCTCCCTTCCCCACCCTCCTAGTCTTCAAAGTCCGAAGAAAAAGGGGCAGGGGAATGGCAGACTTCTACGCGGGCTACATCTCTGGCGCCATCGGAATCCTCCTCGGCTCGCCTCTAGACATCCTAAAAGTCCACCTACAATCCCGCTCCACTACTACCACCACCACCTCCTCCTCCTCCCCCTCGCTATTCCCAACAGCGACAAGTTATGTCCGCGGTACCGCCGCTCCGCTTCTCGGCTACGGCTGCCTAAACGCGATCCTATTCCACACCTACAACCGCACCCTCTCCCTCCTTTCAACTCCGCAACAACAGCAACAGCAGCAATCATCGCTAGCGATGATATGGACCGCCGGCGCCGTCAGCGGTGCCGTATCGTTCGTGCTTAGCGCGCCGGTGGAATTGGTCAAGGTCCGGGCGCAAACGCGCCCTGGCGAGAACAGCTATGAAGTCGCGCGTGGGGTTGTCAAGAGGGAGGGGGTTAGGGGGTTGTATTTGGGAGGGGGGGTTACGGGGGTCAGGGATTCGGCAGGTTATGGATTTTAGTGTGTTATTCTCTCTCTCTGTGTGTGTGGTCGCTGCCCGGGTATATGGCTAAATGGCTGATATGGGGGTGCAGTTTCTGGGCGTATGAGTATATGAAGCGCCTGCTGCGATATGAGGAAGCAGCTGGAGGAGGGGGTGGGGAGGGCCAGCGGGCGGCCAGTATGAAGACACTGCTTGCGGGCGGTGTGGCGGGGTGTGTCAGTTGGCTGTCAGTGTACCCGCTCGATGTCATCAAGACCCGGGTGCAGGCGCAGGGCGAGCGCGAGGGGTTATTGGGCAACAGGAGGCTCGGCACTTGGGAGTGCGCGAAGAGCGCTTATGCTGGGGGTGGGGGGAGGGTGTTTTTCAACGGGCTGGGTGTTTGTATGGCTAGGGCTTTTTTGGTGCGTCCCCTATTGGTATGATGGCGGTGATGGGTTTCGATGAGTGAGGGCTAATGATTGCTTTGTTTTGCTGCTGGTAGGTTAGCGCTGTTCAGGTATGTGATTTGATTCGATTTTGTCCGAATATGATATCAATATCATGATACGCGCCGCCTTCCCGAGGATTAAAATGGATGAACTAACAATGGTATTCGTAGTGGGCTGTTTATGAATGGGTCTCTGAGAGGTTGAAATAGCCATTAGAGTCTGTGCTGCTAGACGATAGAAGTAGAATGGTTAATGCATAACCCTCCCGCATTGCCAGGATGCTACTCGTAAAGTTCTCATGAAATCCATCATCTCCATCGGCCCTGGGGGGATTGGCGTTTTCCTGACACAGGGCAAGATCAGGCCTCAGGACGTGTTGGATTTCATTAACCGGTATGATATTCGCAACTCCACTAACTTGTCAAACCCAAAACCCATCCTGGGCTGACGGGTTGATTCCCGCGGATAATCTGGTAACGGTAGTGGGTTTCACCAGATTTTACGGTAGGTTATGATAAAACTCAGAACCGTTTCACAAAAGACCGGTAGGCAGCATGTCCTAAACTATCCCTTTGATCACACCACACGCAAAACCACGAGCCCAACACCTTTTATTAGTAACTAGGAAATCATAATCAAACACATCTTACAGGATTAGAAGAGTATTATCATATAATACAGAAAAACAACATACTGGAATATGAATACCATTTGGTAGACGCAGCCTAAAGCACAGCTATCCCTCCGCTCCAACGCAAGAGAGCAACGTTCAACTCCCCTTGGCCCGTTCCATCCAAAGCAAAATAGGAGCAATATATATATGTAATAGGATATCATTGAATGGAAAAATCGAAAAACCCAATCATCTACGGGGTAAAACCTACCCCACACTCCCCAAGGACCAAAACACCGAAATCCAGTGCGACTAGAACTGTTGATAGCACAACACGACCCCCCTTTCTTCCATTAAAAATTCTCCTTGCCCCTATAAATTGATTAGTCAGGTTCACGGAGAGTAGAGGGGGAATGCCGCACCAAACAAATGAAAACCCTGGCTCGGAATACTGATTGCACTTTACGTGCAATGTAGACCCAAGTGGTTTGGGTCCACAGAAGACTAAAAACGGCAGTTAGCACGTATAACTTAAAGGAATTAGAATGGAGGAAACATACAAACTCCGACTTCTGCGGGCTTGTGGATCGCTCGGATGCTCTTGAATACAGTATCCCAGTTAGGTCTTCCAAAGTTTGTAGGCGCTCGAAGGCCTGTGATAGCATCCTTCTCAGCGTTCGCATCGTTAATCATAATATTGGTGGCGTCATCAGGCTTAATCTTGGCCGTAAGGTAGGTGTGAATTTCGATTAGGTGACCAATATCCTGGGCCTCGATAGCCAGAAGCAAAGACCGGAACCATTCGAAGGAGCCGAAATCACGGCAAATCCAGAAGAAGTACACTTTATGGAGTCTCGTCTTCTTTTGAGGATAGTTACTCCTGTACCAGATACTCTTCAAGATAGAAGCGAAAGGCGTGACACCAATACCAGCACCAACGAGCACAGAGACTTCGTATTTGAAAACATCCTCAGACGCCGATCCAAATGGTCCATCAATGTAAACTACAGGTAATGTATTAGTAATGTTCTTCCATGCTCCTCTCTAAGGTTTCCAAGAATCGTACCCCTGGGCAAGACTCTACGAATAGCAGGGTCGACATCTTCCTTGGTATTCTTGTCCACACCAATAACCCTAGACTCTCTCCTTTTAGACTTTTCGGCCCTGCCACCCTTCTTATCGATATCACATCCCAACGTCTTTCCCAATGCCTTGGTGAAGTTTCCAACCATGCGGACATGAACAGATATGTAGTCCTCCTCGGGAGCACTGGTGAGTGTGAAAGGGTGATATTGCCAGATGGAAACCTCGGGGCAGCAAAGGAAGATGTATTGCCCAGCCTTGGCCTTTGTGTGTTCCTTCTTGATCTGAATCTCTACCACGTTGCTCGGATGCTCAATAACTTTGCTGATATAGGTCTTATGTTTTCCACGAATCTCCCTCTTAATCCTTTCACCGAGGTACAAGAGACCCCCAAACACCCAAAACTTCCAGAAAACGCCGATACCGTCACAGAATGGTGGGCGATCCGGCTTGATCATACAGAAGGCACCATGGAACGACCAGAACAAGAAGAAAACGAGGAACAAATGGTGAGAATACCTATCAGCTGATCAGCAAAATCATGTCCTATAGTTCCTCATCCGTATTCGACGTACCAAAAGCGCTCAAAGTTTGCCCTGCGAGGTTTGTCCATAGCAGTAACAGCCATAATCATCAAGCAGATCAGCATAATATACCCAGTCCAACCCGGGCCAGAAACAAAGTTAGCTCGTAGCCACCCAACGAAACCGAGCTTCTCTTTAATGGCAAGCTGCGCGAAGTTGTTCCAATGGGCAATTGTGTGTAGCCAAGAGAAGAAAACGATGGACCACGCAGTCACTATTGTAAATGTCAGTAAATCACCCCCAACAATAATCTCTATCGATGAACTCACTCTTATGGAAAGTTATATTTTTGTCTACGAACAAGTCAGCCAGTGCCCGATATTCGAATTAAACTCATGAAAAGCGTACCGAATTGGATGATCCCATTGAGCGCAGTCTGGCGAGCCATAGAAATTAAGTTACGGCACACAGCTATCCCTCCAATCAGTATCCATTTCCAACACATTCACCGCAAGGTACATACGTAGCAGGATAAGAGCGACATCGACATGAAGCACGAGAGCTGCAGACCTCGCTATTGGCAGGGTAACACCAAAAACAGCCCTGGGACCGACGAGATTGTCCTACAAATATTTAGCGCCACATCCTTTTGCCCCCTAGCAGAACTCAGACCTTCAACGTGTAATGCAAGAAGCCAAAGCCAAATACAAGCAAATGTAATAGCACGAAGATAGCGACAAAACTAGAAAGCTGTTAGCATTGTCGTAAGAGAAGAAACGAGATAAAAGCGGACATTCGCCGGTATCCTTCGTTCACCATCCTAGACCCGAAGTTAGCTCCTAAACACCTCCAACAAACACCACCAGGGTCCGAAGCACATACCACCGGTCAATCTTCTGTTTCATAGTAAACCGCTTGTTCTCGTTGCGGGTAACATCTGGAGAGCTCATCTTGGCTGCAAGAGCCGGCCACCGAGACCGCTCCGACTGCGTCCCCGAACGCTGAAAGTTATTCATGGCTATCGCCTCTTCCCGCAGTTTGGGTGGAATTTTGGCGATGGTGCGATCAACGCGCAGGTGTCGGTCTAGAAATCGTTCGTATTCTGGTTATACCTGTCGTGTTCAGGGCCAGCCGAACCGTGAAATAGGATCCAGCAAGTCGAGAGGAAGTTTTCCGCAAGGACCGAGTATTGTTTGCCCGAAACGCTCTGCGTAAATCTGGGGAGATGACGAGCTTGCGTAAGATTTAGTGGTATATGCTGCGAGTACCTGAAGTGGAAAGTGCGGTAGTAGATCCAGCACCACTATTGCAAATGAGAGAATGTAAAAAAAAAAAAAATGTTAATTATGTGCAACAGGACAGTTGCCTATGCGGAAGGAAATGGGCGAGAAGGAGTGAAAGGAAAAGTGGGACAAAGAGGATGGAGAAGAAAGGGAGGGGAGGGGGCGATACTAAGGGGGTAAGACAAAAGAAGGGAGCTGAAAGAGTCGATGGGAGGGCTCGGGAAGACAGGGCAGCGGGTGAGTACTCGAGTATACTAGTACTCTCGGCTGGGTATGCACAGCAAACAGCAGCAGAAGCGTGATATTCCCAAAGAAAAGTTATTTCCCTTACAGTACCGCTCTCTCTCTCTCTCTCTTTCTCTCTTTCTCCGTGTCTTCCGCTTAGTATTCTTCTCGATTCAACCAATCTTGGTGCAGACCTGGAGCCGACGGGGACCATCGTCCAACTTTTCTATCATTCCATCTTACGAAAGGGTAAAAATCGCCTGATCATCGCTCGTAATCATCAGTCAGGAGTCCTGGCCACATTTGAAGCTCAGCGGCATCAACCCATCCCTGGTGATGCTAAGCTTCCTCTCTCTCGCCCCAGCTTCCCCTAATGCACCACTTCCCCCAGCGGTACCGTATCTTGTTCCCCAACAGCGCCTGGGAAGAACACCGTGCTGGTACTCATCGAATGAAATGTCTTTTCACGGGTAAGTTCCCTGTTCAAAGTCATCCTTCCTCCTACAGAATCAGAGACTGAACAATTGGATCCAGGATAATCGAATCAATTGAGACTGGCTTGGGTCAGCTGCGACTATGATGGCGGTTAAGGGGCATTTGGGAAAACCTACACTTGTGCCTATCGGAGTTTCACAGGGGTTGCTACGAAACGCCAACTTCCAAGGTTCCAAACCCTTTTTCCCATCATACCAAGCTGCTACCGGTAAGTCACAGTTTGATACTCGAGTAAATAGCCCTACCACAGATAACGGGATTCTGCACAATCCCACACCCAATGCTGCAGTCGCATCTCGAACCCATCTCAAACGGCCGAACGCTTAATCAATTCACCACGAAAGAAGACAACATCAAACCCGCAAAATCGTCCGGGGAGCCCCATAAATTAACCCCGTCGCACGAGTAGAAATAAAATCTCCCTCCTTCTCTCTCCCTCCCCAGAATTATTTAACCGCAATGCTACTTACTACCCAAGTTCTGCACTGCACACTACAAACTACGAGTACTCGAGTACGCCCTCTACGGCAACTTTCGGTACGAGTACCTACTTAGGGTGCTAGAGGATAAGAAGGGTACATGTAGGTTTGTCACCCTTGATCGTAACATGAGCAACTCGCCAATTATAGTAAAAGCCAAGAGCTTAGTTATCTTAGAAGCCACAGGACATATAGAAATTACTGGTAACATAATAATAATATTATTATTATGGGGGTTTATAATAGTTGTGGCTTGCGTGTGGGAATGAAATCCAGGCCCCATTGGACGCGCCATCGTTTGAAGAAACCGCACTTTTTCCCATAAATACCGGTAATAATATTATTAAATTCGCGTTTGCCACGCGCTCTTTCCCTTTCCCCTCTTTGCCAAACAAGGCCTCAATGATAGTGTGAACAGGGGCGACGAAGCCACCCTTCTCACCTTCTCGCACCACACAGTCCACACTCGAGTACGAGTACAGTACCTGCCGTATTATTCAAGCTGGCGATTGTCGTTTTTTCTTGCACTTTCCCCCCATCATAATAATTTACGGGCCACCGTAGTTCTTACCAAGGCTTTCGGCACTCTCACGACGAAAACCCTTGTGTAACTTTCCCATCTCGAAACCCTGAGTCGATCAATCCAGGCACAAGCAGTGTGCATGCTTGCACCCGGCTGGCACCGCACTCGCACCAGTACTGGAGCACTGACTTCCGCCCATCATTACACGCGTTCGAGTAACCCCCATGCGAACCGTGGCAAGCCCCAAAACATCAGGAGCTTCAGCGCTGTTACGAGCATCCCCTAGGCCACCTCTATCGTAGCGCGGGAAAAATGTTCGAGTACGGTACAAGTACCGACACGGTATACATGCACTAGTATGTGCGTCTCAAAAGGGATCGTTTCCAGATGCGGGTATACGTACAAGTACCGACATACAGTACCAGCGACTATCGAGAGCACAATAGCACAATCAAAGGGTAAAAAAATGGATTGTGTTCACTCCTCGCGAAACTTGCTTCTCCCGTGTGCGCTGTGCTGAGCTTCAGTCGGAGGGCCTCGTGCCGCCCTTCCGAAGGCAAACCGGGCTCCCAGGGCCTGCCGCGCCGGCACGGTACCCGTACAAGTACGATACTTGACCACAGCATTGACATGGCAAGCTCCTCTTCCGCTATTTTCCTGACCCCGCTCTTCACCTTCCTGTTTTGAAAGGTGGTGGTGGTTGTCAATACCACACACTACCACCTCACAATCCCCTCTCCGGGCTGAACTTTGAAAGCTTCATAAGCCTGGATATCAAACCTCATCATGGGGCTAAACGAGATTTTCACCCCCTCTGTTGTTAGACTTTGGTCCCTCTGCCAGATTGTGGTTCCTGTCCTCCCCCTCCCTCCATGATGGCCATCTCGGCTAAGCTGTGTGAGGTTGCAAATACTCTTCCACCCCTCTGGGTTCTTTTACTCGGTCAGGTTTGCTTCTTTACCAATGTCTGGGTTACTCAGCAATGTGTGGTTGGTATTGCACTGCTTCCGGTCATGCATCTGTCTGACTAGCCATAAACGATCACTCCACAGGAGGCCAGCATGTCCAGGTCAGTTGCCTTCATCACACGAAAAGAATGCATTATTGTTCTCCCCTATATTCCTAACTGCTAGTCATGGCTGGACCGGTTGAAAAATGGGGAATGTGGTTTATCAAGGTAGTTTCCTTTATTGAGTTTCCTTTGTGTTTCCTTTCTCAAGAGAATACGGTATGGGTTTTCTTGTTGGCTCCTGCCGGTCCTGTTTTGTGCTTTTTTTGTTTTATGCAGAAGGAGCTTTCATGGGGGTGGATGTGCGGTTGGCCCCATACCAGAGGGACTTGGGCTGGTTTGTTTTCCCCTAGGCCTGTGAATGAGGTTTTTGACCAGCATGTCTAAGGATGAAATCGGGGGTGTGGGGCAGTTATTGCAGAGGTGCCCTTATATCTAGGATCCATGCTTTAGCCAGGCTGTGCTCTTATAGTGGAGGTTTGCACCTTTAAGCAAATAGATTCTAGGATTTAACAAAAAAAAAAAAAAACCACAGCATTGACATGGGACATACCGGTATTGAGTGTTCCCCGTGCGTTCTTGTGGTGTTTTGGCGTCATTCACATGAAGCTTTACCCGTGTGATCCCGTTCATGGACCAATGCTTCAGTACTGAACTGGTGCTTAAAAATGTCAATTGGCTACGCTCTGCCCTCGAGACGAAGAACCCAGTATTGGTGCCGTTTCCCACACACCGTCAACCATCACTACAAGTAGCCCTCCCAGGTTGGGCATCCCACGTGCCCGTCCAACTTCCTCCCCATCCCGTCCCCCACCCCCACCCGCCAGCCCGGTCCCGAGGAGAAGAAACGAAATTAGAGGTAATTCCACACTCTAACGTCCCCGCTAGGAGCTCGGAAATCGGCACCGAAGGCTGATGCATATAGTAAATTAGTACACAAAACCCGTAGGGCATGACAGGGGAAAGCGAGAGGATTGGCAAAAATCTGATAAGCTCTAAGTTAGCAGTATGGGAATTTCTAGCGATACGTCTCGGGGCCCCAATTATTCCTACCGTTCTAGGCTCCCGGACACCACCGCTATGTAGTGAAACGGCATTTCGGTTTTATCATAATGATATTATTACTATCACACGATACCACATTAAACAAGGACGGGCGGCGGGCTTGAAACCTAGCTTGTAGGGTGGGCATAGCTTATCACTCGGAAACATCAAATCAGATTGTTGAAAACAGAGAAGAAGAGATATCGACGAGCAAGAGAGGAATTGGGATAGAGGTTCACTACGGAGGTACAGCGCCTAAGTTTTGTTGTATGTTTGTTACACTCGAGACTCATACAATACCCACAGCTAGTGTAACATACAAAAATTAGGCGCTGTATCTCCGTATTTGACTATATAGCACTCAGAGTGTGTTACTATATACCCAAGTACGGTACCGGTAGCCCCTATATGTGTTGTCTGTATTGGGACCCCCACAGACCTCTCTCTACTAGTCCGCTAGCCCAGCCACATATTCCAGACACTCTGATACTATCCCGATTATAGTATCATATCCCCATATTTCAACACAGATGAATGAAGCTACAAGTGGAATCTTCATGAACGTTGCCTGGGCGGCGAAATCTCGAAGCTAGACCGAGTAGGACGCTTTAACCCACATCACACTTTCGACAGTGGCGTGCGAGCACTCGTACATATCACGATATAAGTGTTTCGTAATGTTGGCGGTGTGAATAGCTGCTCAAAACCTCCTCCAACAACATATCCTCTAGCGGACGTTGATCAGGAGTACCGTAGGCCTCTAGGAGGCTAGGTACGTAAGATTATTGCAACCGATAGAGTCCTCGCATCAGGATGTAATCCCAGAATATAGATGACCGGCTGTCCCGCACACAATAACTCTTTTGCTTCTTGGGGTATGTCCTAGGTTCGAATTCTTCGAAAAATGTTCAAGCGCAGTTCCACTCCACAGTGACCGTTCAGCGAACCATATGCAGACCTAGAGATGTTAGGAGGTAGTATCATATTTCGGTTGATAGTACCACTTGGTAGCTATACCCTCGCATTCCTTCCGCCAAACCCGGTAGCTCCGACATGTTACCAGACTACGCACTTCTGGAGTTCTTATATAACCCCCCCCCCTCTTCGGGATACCCGTGAGACCTCTAACCTCTGTTGAGGGGAGGGAATAGGGATGTAAACCAGAAATAGAGCTTTGCTCTTGTAGCCAGATACCATCGAGTGTGACAAGGCATACTGGTATATGCTGAATCTTCTAGTCGGACGCACTTGCAATAGCGAGTCTATGCACAGCCAGGGAATGGTTTGTGATAATTGCTAGTGTGTCCGCTGGGTTTTGTCAACTCAAGCTTTTGCACCCGGGTTTTATGTCCGGATGGGGAAGAGTAAAGTCTGCTGTTTGATACCTCTAACTGACTGTACGAGTACCCCCCCCTGCCCTTGATTACTACTCCTGGTGGCCACGTGCTGCATATTTTCAAAAAAAAAAAAGGTGAATTTCAGTACTTGATTGAGTGATGGGTGATTTTGGCGTTATGGTGCTAATGCACACCGGTACATATACCGGCATAGTGCTCGAGTATATTCACTCTGGCTCGCTTGAATGTTCGGCCATACAACAATTTTTGCCCTAACAGTTAAGTATGATACCTGTTATCCCCCCCTCGATGTCGGCGACCGGGAAACTTCTACCCTGTCGAGAACCGGTATCATACTCCGCCACGACGGCCCGCCAAGAGAGTATTCAGGGTGGCAGTGTCGTAAGTCTTGAGAGGTACGATACTAGTACAGTACTATCAGGGAGCGGAGTGGTTTGGGAACGGGTATCGTACCCAGACTCGGCACTTCTACCGGTACACCGATATCTGGAGGAGCGAGGAAAGGCGCCGCACATTGAGCACTACCGCACTGTGTTCGAGCACTGTATCGTGCCTGAGCTCCAGAGGAGAGAGATACCAGCAGATATATTTAACAGAGCACCACCCTGATGGTGAGCTTGGCGAACAAGTCCAACCCCTCACGGTCGCGGTACCAAATCCCGGTCGCACGGTCCACGAACTGCAGGCAGGGAAAACGGTAAGAAAAACGTTACCGGTGCAAACCCCTGGCTATCCAGCTGCGGAGCTGTATGATACAGTACCGGTACGGTACTCGACATGCAACTTGTAAATTATATGATACTACCCCGGACAAGCTGGGGAATCAGATTTCCCTCGAGCCGGGCTTGTGACAAAGCGAAAGCGGCATCTAGAAACCCTAACCCACAAATAATAAGGTTATTATCTCATCGCTCGACGCCCCTATCTACTGTCTGCGTTCTTTCCCCGATTTCTCGTTCCATGGCTCCTAACTGCTGACTGGCTGACCACTGAGTGAGCTAGGGCACGTATGATAGCTCACTTGCTTCGAGCAAGAAAAATCCATGGAGGGGAACGCTTCCGGCGGATCGTGAATGTAATCCACCAAACACATGAGATAATAATATTTTCCTTTTCTTTTTAGGAGACAATCACCTGGTACCGGAACCGGTCAGCAGCACATGTGCTCGAGTTAGACTAAGTTACTGGTTACTGTACTCGTGATTGAACGACTTTTTCGAACACGGCCACTGCTCGAGTACGGTATTGCGTGATACTGAGATTTAAGCAATTTTGGCGGTATGCAGTACAGTACGAGTACTAGCAGCCGGTGGCAGCTGGGGGCGTTCGATTGCGGGTACCGCACAGCAGCAACAGCAGCGGTATCTTCCTGCCGACAAAACCCTCGGAGCGGTTCAATCGCTGGGACTAAGGGGAAAAAAAACTTCTTCTAGAAGGAGACATGGGATGACAGGAAGGCGAGATTACAAGTACTCGTACAAATACTACAAGTAGTACCGTACTCGAGTACACCCCCTTTTTTTCATGTCACAATATCACGGTATTTGGAATCGGAGCATACAGTATGCAGTACCGGTGCCCGTGCTCGAGTAGATGTGCTTTTGTGATCAGGAGGAAAAGTGGTCCATTTGTTTTATTTTGCTTTTTTCCCGGGCCGGTTTATGATACTTGCGGGGACTTTCTCCTGCGGGAAAGCACCAATTGCTTTCACTTGCGCAAGCACTCGGTACTGTACTCGAGTACCGGTATGTGCATTGGTATTTTAATAGGAGCACTGCCATGATTCGACTCGTGGTCGCTGGAAATTTGATGCCTCTAAGGGTAACCGCGTCCTTAAGTTAAGATGCTTCGTATTGAGGGCCCTCTCCTCTCTTCACCCTGCCTCTCTGCCTCTCTACCTGTGCTACCAGAAATCAGTGGGGTTAGTGTTCGAGGAGGAAGACGGTAAACGCTTTGTTGTATCATACTATACCCGAGTGCACCAGGAATTCCCAGTTAAGTTGCATAAATTTATCACATCGCACTCGAGTCTCGGCATGCCCCACCAGCAGCTATCATAATTGTCTATGGATAGTGATGGAAAATCTCAATACAGGGCAAAGTTTGGTCTGGCGTGCTGACGAAAGCATTTTTTTCACCCTTTTTTCTATTCCGAAATTTATCATGTTATGGTGGCCGAGTGTCCTCTGGTGGTTAGTGAGTGGCAGAGTTCGTATGCGTGAAGGGCGCAGTTTGGACTGAGCCTGCTTCCCGTTGCTCAGCCTCCACCCTTGTCAGACATAGAAGAGTGGGTTAGTAGTTCCTATGTGTCGGCATGGCGGGGGAGAATGGTTGAAAACATCCAGATGCCCCTCCTTGAACAGCCATCCATTTACCTGCAACACAAACTTACCCTGATTTTTACCTCCAGACATTATCATACAAAGCTTTCTGCCACCCTCTGACAATCTCGCCCCGGGCGGACGTTTTTATTTGAGCAAAACTCTCACCACGGTCACCTATCTTGTTCCCTTTTTTTGTTCCCAAATCTGGTTCCAGGACTTAACCCGATATTTGTTTGGTCTATCCTTAAGCAAGAGGAAGGGGGAACGAGAGAGGGAGCTTTCGATAGACACGCCATTCCGGATCAGTATAGCTGATTGATTTCTACTGCGGTTCGGAAAGGGTCCTCCGGGTCTACGATATCTTTTCTCTGCTGTGTTTGTTGGGTGATTGCTCTGGCTGCTTGCAGCATTATCTTTTTCCGTTCTTAGGGTTTGGTAAGTTTTCTTATCCAATCGATCGAGCACTCCTTTCCCCTTCTACTGTACCGTATGTTCTGCAAATCCCATTTCCTCCGGACGGCGGGTGCTGGTACGAAAGCTGTGCAATCTCTCCGCTCTCACCCCACGCAAAATATTTTGGGATGGATGGGGGGAGATGGGTGAACGGGAGAACGGGCACGCGGAAAGGAGAAAACGAAGAAGGGAGAGAAAGAGGGGGGAAGAAGGGTGCCGGGCTGCGCTTCGATGCCGTAGTGCCTACTTTTCGCTCAGTTCTCTACCGCGGGTTTCTCACGATCTCTTTCAAGTTTTTTTTTTTCCTACCTGAAAACGGTTGCTGATTTGAGGCCATTCTATTAGTAAATACAATCCTCCGGTACACCGCTCTCACAAACGGAGATTTATTTTGTTTTACACGTTATTCTCATCCTAATTCCAATTTCCTCAACCATTTACCGGCTCATTAATAGATCTGACGGAGTCTCCGTGCAGCTTCTAAGGCAAACATGTCTGGCATGGGGGCAACATTTTATCCTGGAAAGGACGATTACATGATGCCAGATGTCGCCATCGTCTCTCCATCTCCTCAGAGGTTCGTACTAGCACTTTCACTACTATTTTGATCCCATTGTCTGAACTTCTTTTTCGTGTTCTTTTTTTTTTTTTTTTTTTTTTCCCATTAAATTTTCATCGTTTTTCTTTTTCCCATATCTCTCTAGCTTGACTGCGTTGTCCGGGTGTCCCTGCCACCTTTTTTTTTTTTTTCTCTCTTTTCTTCACTTTTCCTTCCTTCAGCTTCTATTGAGTCTCGGGAGTGGCCACGTTCAGTAGAAAGCTAATGCCTTTCACCGCAACCAGGGTTATGCCAGAAGTTCCCGTTCAGATTGCCGACAGCTTAGAGAATCTAGAATTACAATCTCAGAACGGAAGAGCTCCTGCGGGAAACGATGGTTATATGAGTAACAACAACTATCAGGACGATCGAAACCATCTTAGTAGCCAACAGTCCCGGAATAACTATTCGGATTCCTACGCGACCCCCCCACCTTCCTCCCAAGGTCACGGATCTCGTTCGATGAGTGAAGAGCGCGACAGTCGATCGAGTTATGGAGCTTCGTCGTACCATTCCTCGATAGCCGAAGACTATCCAGGGGGGTTCCAGGCAATCGACGAGCCTTCATTTTCGCCGTTTCCAAAGCTCGTCAACCCTGGTCCAAATATTCCACCAACAGATGAAGAGAAGGGTGACCAGATTGAGGGAGCCCGCTTGGCGGTGCTATCCTCAAATGATCCGGAAATGCAGTTGGTATGGGCACAGGACGCATTGAGTTATGTTGAAGTTTGCATGAACTATCTTACTCGGATCGCAGAACCTCCTGGAACTCGACCGCAAACACCCACAGTTGAGCACCAAATCAAAGCAGACGCTTTGAGTGTCGTGACATTTTTGGCTGACCAACACCATCCACGGGCAGAATTTATGCGGGGGAATTGGTTGGAGTTTGGAAAGTTTGGCTATAGGAGTGATAAGAAGGAAGCTTTCAGATGTTATGCTCGATCAGCGGAAAAGGGATTTGCTCGTGCGGAGTACAGGATGGGGATGCAGTACGAAAACTCTAACGAACCCATGAAAGCGATTAAGCACTACAATCATGGAGCTGCAATGGGTGATTCAGCTTCAAATTATGTCGGTCAAGCTCACACGTACATGGGTTGAGCTATTACTAACCCTATTCTATAGAGACTTGGAATGATGACCTTATTGGGACAGCACAGCCAAAAGCAAGATTACGCTAGGGGTGTTCATCTTATCCGACTTGCAGCTCAAACAGCTGATGAAAATGCTCCCCAAGGGGCTTACGTAAGTGAACATATAAACCCCTTTCAGTAAGGTCATGTTTCTGGCAATTGACATACCCTAGGTTTATGGTATGTTGCTGGCTCGGGAATTACCAGGGATTGAGATTCCAGATCTATTTTTGCCCCTTGATATTCGGCAAGCGAAGGAAATGATTGAGAAGGCAGCATTCCTTGGATTTGCAGTATGTAACTCATTATCCCGAATTATGCATCGCACTGCCACTGATAGTTTCAGCGTGCTCAACTCAAAATGGGAACGGCATATGAACTGTGTCAACTTGGTTGTGATTTTAATCCGGCATTGTCTCTTCACTACAATGCATTGGCCGCCAGGCAAGGTAGGGCATTTAATTCTTGCTGGTACTCGAGCCACCCACTAACGTTGGCAGGTGAGCCTGAGGCGGATATGGCCATTAGTAAATGGTTTCTTTGCGGTCACGAAGGCGTTTTCGAGAAGAACGAAGAGTTGGCATTTCAATACGCCCAGAGAGCGGCATCGGCTGGACTCGCCACAGCCGAATTCGCACTCGGATACTTTTATGAAATTGGAATGCATGTTCCGGCCGACCTCAAGGAAGCTCAGCTATGGTATGGAAAGGTAAGAGAATACCTAGGAGGTGCCGGATTAGATCCAGTTTTTTGACTTGGAATCAGGCTGCCGCGCATGGAAACAAGGACGCTAGTGGGCGTATAGAGGGTATCTCACGATCAAAGACCCTGTCTCGAAAGGATCACGAGAGTGTTGCTATATCAAAGATAAGAGCTCGACATGCTTCTCAGAGGCGAGTGGTTAATCCACTTACTCAAAGGCGCCAGTCAGTAGTTCCACCTATTATAAGTCCTATTGAGGAAGCTGTAGACATGCCTGATCCTACTATTCCTCCCGGTGGCAACTACAACTATCCACCAGGGCCTCCACCAATGCAAGAGCCTCCTCGGCCATTGGTAAGGCAGGGTACCATGCCTAATGTTAATACCAGCTTTATTGCCCCAGATTTAGGCCAGAGTTATTTGAATCCCGGCAATGGGCCATTTTCTGCTGTTCAGCCTCCTGTGAGGCCTGGAACTGCAGTTCCATATCCGGTCCGACCAGGCTCTGCGGGATCTGGAGCTCTACCCCATACTCGACCAATGTCTGCGGTTGGCTACGGTTAGCAGTCCCGCATGTTCCCAAGAGTTCAACTTGCTGACAGACGTCCATTCTTAGCTATTGGAGGCCCAGGTGCGATTCTTCCTGCAGGGACTTACCCTGGAGGCCCGCCACGACCTTTCACTGCCATGGATAATCAAGGGCGAAGGCCTCCTCCTGGAGGGAGACAACAGCAACCTTATCCAACTGTTGACGAATATCCCTCACCTCAGGGTCGCCAGGGCTCGGGCTATCCAGGGGGATTTAATGGAGAGCCAGTTCCTCATATTAATACGCCTAAGCCATCCCAGATGCACGGAAACCAAGGAATTAAACCACCCGGAACCCCCATTGATATCGGATTTGAAGCTCCTGCCCCTAGACCAAAACCAGCGAAATCCCCTGCTCCAAGCACTATGGGAGGGCCGAACAGGAGGAACTCTGGCGCTGCCGGGGATAGGAGGCCTGGGAGCTCGCTTGGTCCTCATGGTCAACACCGGCCACCGAACCAACAGGGCCCTCCAAACAAGGCGCACGGAAGCCCACAACTTGGCCCCACCCCGGGCCCCCCATCCCCCCCAATCAACCCTTCACTAACACCAAGGCCACCTCCGTCCAGTGCTACTCCAAAACCACAGTCTGCACCACTCCCGAAGCCACCAGGCAAAGGACCCAAGACGTTTGAAGAAATGGGTGTTCCCCAACAGACCAAGGAACAGGATTGTGTAAGTATTCCTCAGATCTAGCGGCACGCTCTTTTCCACCCGACTGATAGATTTTCGTGCATGCAGGTTATCATGTGAGGTGGTAATATGGACTATGTATACCCTTTTTTGCCTTTGCATGATAATTACTTTCCGATTACTTGACCTGCTCCAACTATAATAGGTGACTCGGTTGCGTTTATATGTACATTTTAAGAGAAAAACAGTCTGGATGTTGAGAGAAGGCCAAGACAGGCGGAATAAGGTGACAGCGGGCGTTTTTACTTTTTTTCTATTCTTCCGCCTTACCGTACTCGCATACCATCCTAATATTATATCCCCCCCCTTTTTTTCTCCATCACCATTTCCTTCTTATTCAATACCTAGTTTATGCATTTCCATTTATTTTTCCTGCAACTTGATACTTGATGGTCAATATATATCTCTTTTTCTTTCCTTTTCCTTCCCCCTCCTTTTTTTTCGTAGTCAACCTGGTGCTTTTTCCACTTTTCCTTCTCTTTTTCCACTATACCTTATTCCATTGGTTACATCTGATCGTTCCACCTACCTCTGCACCCAACTCACTCCCGTGCTACTCCGGGAAAGGGAAAGAGAGAGATCACGAAAGCATTGTTGTACCGCGCCTACTGCAACTTGGGACCACAGTCAATCAATCCCAATCAAGCAATCAATCGCAACCTTTGCCCCTTTTTCTTGTGCTATGTGGCGAGAATGAAAGCAGATAGAAAGGAATAGGAAAAAACAAATTATAGGTATGCCGTCACTGCTACTGCCACTCCTAGACTAGGGGAATACTGTAATAATAATAATGGCCAACCAATTTGGGAACGACGTTTTATGGTACATGAATTTGAGGAAGGGGAAGTGCGGTGCAGCGCGGTGCGATAGTAGTAGAGTACTATAATAGGATACAAGTGTGTAGGACAAATGAAATTAGGTAAGATGAATGGGCGGACGGCCGGATGGTTGGATGTGATAGCCAGACAGACAAACGGTAAATTGGCAACGCAACGTAACTTAGAGCAAATCAAGAAGAAAATTGAATTTGACCCATTTAAGTTGAGAGGGAAGAAAGGAGAGGAAAGGAAGAGGTAGAAAAGAAAAAGGAAAAGAAAAGAAAAGAAAAGACTAAACTCCGCTTTTCCACCATCGACCGACCAAGCAACTATACCCATTTGACTGGAATATCAGTAGACTACCCATCCATATCCAAATCAATAGCATCGGGGTTAACCTCTGCGCTCGCAGTCGCAGCCACGTTCCTAATAGATCCTTTAATCCCCCCGCCATCCTTCGCCGCGACAAATCCTGCGGGCGCCCTGACCTCCCGCTCCAACGCCGCCATCGCATCCCCCCTTTCGCTCCCCACCTCCTCATCACTCCCGCTCCCCGCGCCGCCACCGCCGCCACCGCCGCCAGCCTTCGCTTGTCCGCGTGCGAGAGCTTGACTAGCGATGAAGTTGACGTCGGTGTTGTACTGCGCCTGCACACTCCTCTTGATCCTGAGCATTTCCTTGAAGGTGTCTTCGTTCCCGTGCTGGATTTCAAATGCTTCCCACTTGGTCCAGAACTGCGGCGAAATTCTTGGATCGCAGAACTGCGAGGCGTGGCCGTAGATCGCCCTCGCTCTGTCGATTTCTCCGAGACGTCGTTCCATCTCGGCAAACTTGAGGCACATCTCTTTCGCCTCGCTGTCTGGTAGTGCTTCTATTGCGCGCTCGTAGATGGGTCGGGTGGAGGTTAGACCAAAGTTTGAGGCGGACTTTGTGATGTAGAAGTCGAACATTTCGAAGCGGTCTTCGTCTGCTACTGCGCGGGTTGCGCGCTCGTAGATGCGCATTGCGTGCCGGGCTAAGCCGCGTTCTTCTTCGAGGTTGCCATACATTAGATAGAGGACTTGTGCGAACTTGGGGGGGCAGTTTTCGACGGCCTGCTCAAAGAGGTCACGGAGTCGTTCGATGTCGATTTGGCGATTCACAGCTTTGGTCAGGTAGAGATTCCAGAGCTCAAAGGCTACGGGGTAGGTGAAGAGGTCGAGGCCGCGCTCGTAGACCTAGTTTTTTGTAAGTTTAATTGATATCGATGGATAATGGAAGGAAGAGTACCTTGAAGCTCTCTTCAAAATACTTGTTCTCCTCAAGAAGAGTAGCATAATTTACAACTGTTTGCGGAGTAGCAATCCGAAGCTCGAAGATCCTCTCGTAAACCTTCTTTGTCTCCTCAAGCGTACTTACGCTCTCCACGAGATCGACGTAGAAACTCCACAGCTTCCAGCTCTTGTGCACCCTTTGCTGCGGTGTCAGCGTTTCGTCAAAATAATCCACCGTGCTCCTCTTGGGCGATTGAGTGGCCTTCGCCATGATCTTGACCGCCTCGTCGAAGTTGTCGTTACGCAACTCCAACTCTGCCCATTCAACCCACATCTCCGCGAGCTCTTGGACAGACTTGAACGGGACCCGAACAGCCTTTTCCATAATCATACGTGCCTGTCTGATATCCCCATGCTTCTCATAAAACTTGGCATATCCGGCCCACAGGGAGTGGAATTGACCAACAGCTTTCTTCGGGTTCACCGCGGCTACCGCATCAGTGTACGTTTGAACAATCTGTTGCTTGTTATCGCCCCAGAGCGCAACCCTTTTCTCCCATTCAATGACGTTATTCGGATTCTGCCTTAGGAGAACGTCGTTAACCAGGAAAGGTCGTCGATCCATCAATTGCTCGAACCGCATCAATCGGATATCCAGATCGAAATCGGCGTCCTCGCTAACAATGCCCTTCTCCTGCCGCGCAGCAGCCGCTTCCATCAAGGTCCCGATAACAGATTCCTCGAATTCAGTGTACGAGTCGAAGATCTGGGTAAAGTCTCGGACAGTCATAACGGTGGTGACGCCCTCCTCGAAAGCGTCTCTTGCCTACACAAAAGAATCAACAATCAATCCCTCAACAATTCCAATCATCCGATCCACATACCCTCTCGAAGTCGCCCTTAGTGATCCAATAGGTGCCCAAACTAGTCCACAATTTCCCCCGCTGATCACTGAACTTTCCGATCCCACTCCGCACAATCTTCTCCACGTCAATGCCCTTGATCTCACGAGCGTGGCTGACCAACAAGTCGCACAGCTCACTCCACATCTGAAAGTGGCTCTTCCCAGCCTTTGACCGAAACTTAGGATTATCCAGTACCTCGATCCACTTTTGCGCCGCCTCCTCGTATTTCCCCATCTCAGTGAGAAGCTCAATGAATTCCTCCGCATCCTCAGGGTGAACCTGCATGTACCGTTTCCAAATTCTGACAGCCGTCTCCCCAGAAGCGGAATTGGCGAACGGTAGGTAGAGTGCCCAGATACGACTATGCTGGGTGAGCGGTAAAGCCCGCAGGGCACGATCGAAGGTTCGGCGGGTCTTGGTGACGATGCATTGTTTGAGCAAGAATGACAGGTAGTCCGTCCAGATCCTAGGCATCTTGTTGAGAAGGATGAGAGACCGTTCAAAGCAATCATTGACCTTGTTGTACTCGGCCTGGAACCGTGCCGGATTGAGGGAGGACACGTGCTTGACCCTTAAATCCAGATACTAAAAACCTTCCAATGAGAATCTCCATTACATTACGACCAAAAAACTCGCACCACCGCCACACAACAAACATCCAGACAGAAATAAAAATAAACACTGTAGATAAAGCCAACTGAAGGGTCAAGAAACACATACCATTTTCCAAAGTTTGTATGACCTAGGCAACGCTTTGCAAGCCCTCTCGAAAACAAACACCTGTTCGTGAATACCCCCAGTCTTGGCCTTATATTCCAAATACCTCAACCAGGGCTTCAAGCTCGAGTACGGATCTCTCAAAATCTCCTGCTCATAATGGGCATCCTCCTCCGAGATAAGGTACAAATCGATAGTCGTAGCAACACCGGTAGTAGTAGAAGTAGAACCCTTGAGGACGCTGTCGGGATGGGATCGTTTGCTAACAAGCATGGTTGTAGTTGTCGAAGCAGAGGGCGATGAATCGACTTCCATTGGCGCAAGAAGCCCCCCGGGCATCAAATGGTTATTTTTCTTTTGGTTGTTGTGCGTTTTTCGTAGAAGACGAAGAAAAGCTGCCTCCCCCCGAAGAGTCTATCCTGTGCCCCCCCCAAACTCGACTCGCCCGCCTCGCGAAAAGAGCGCGGAGGATTGATTCCTTTTTTCCTCCTCCTCCTCCTCCTCCTCCGTCAATCACGCTGTTCGATATGAAGGAAAGGAGGGAGAACGAAAGAAGGGGAAAAAAAGGTCGCCAGATCCGTCTACAGACCGCGTCCCATGGAAATTGACGAATATCGATTTTAAAAAGGTTTTTAGCTTCTGTCGATCTTTCCGCCTCCCGCCCAACAACTCCAATATCCCTTCCTCCTCTCTTGTTTCTTCTCTCCCGTCCTTCCTGTGCTTCCGTAGCGGGAAGTTTAGAAGGGGAGGGGGGGGGAAGGAACAATAATATCGAAGGTGAAGGGCTTTGAAAAAGCTGCAAGGAGGGAGAAGAAAGGTGAGAGAAACCTATGCTCGGAATAATGGAACGGGGGAGCGTTGTTAAAAGTTTGGTGGATGGGAGGTGGTGGGGGAGAGGAGGTGGGGGGGGGGGAAAGAGAAGGAATACCGGTATGATACTGTGCAAAAATAATTATGAGGGATGGATAGTATGATATGATACAAGTACAGTAGGAGTGCCGTACTGGTAGACTATGATGCCCAGATGAAGATGTGAAACGCAACGAACGAATTCAACGAAACGAAGCAAACCCAGGTTTTGAAATCCTACTCTAACGTCCAGTGCTAAGTACGGGCATTACCATAATACTATTATCATATCAGCCGAGCAAAATTCACGGTTGAATAGATTACAAGCACAATACCAGTAAGTACGAGTATGATACCCGAGCGCCACAAATTTGATCCGTCATAAGAATCCGGACACCAGAATGCCAAGGCACACCAAAGGCACTGAACCCCGGGGCCAAAGTGTCTGGATATCTTTTGGGTTGGGGAGCGCTCGGGTGCCCTCTGCCCTGGCTTACCGGCAACACAGCGCTCAGGTCACGGGACTTGGGACATCATAATACCGTAAAAACCCTTGTCAGATTATCAGCAGAAATCAGCCAGTCGGCCCACGATGGGTTTAGTTTGACACGTTTACAGAATTTCAAATACCAGTTAACAAGATCCAGCACGCCCGATGAGCAGATCTTATACCGTGTCAGGAAGTCGCTAATCCTTCTCAAGGAGCTTTTAACTCAGAATCCGGAGATGACAGGGCGGCCGGAGATAGTGGATTCCAAGGGTTTTTTTTTTGCTCGAGTATCATACGGTATCGTCATACAGTAAGCCGGTATGAGAGTTGCTCTTTCTGGTAATAGTAATTAGCACCGGTGCGGTAAGATACCGTTACAGGACGGTAGCTGCGCGGAGGAATGTGCCTTGGCTTTGGAGGAGCAGGTGTCGTGACAACAACGCAACGATTAGTCTAATAAAAGAGCTGCCACAAGCATCTCCAAGCGCCCAATTGAACTCACACACCATCTCCTCCTCAATCGAATGTGAATCACACGATAAGTTAACCCAATTCTCCCCCCCCCTCCCCCCAATCGAGGTGTTGCCCATTCTTCGAATACGCCAAACGGACAAATGGATGAGGAGAATTGAACCAGAGCCGGTGTCACTTAAGTAATGAGATAGGAATATTACTCTACACTACTGCGTCCGGGTACAAGTGCATCCATACCGCCCCAGACGGACCGGAAAAGCCCAAGTTTGAAAGGCTCCATCCGCCCACCCATCCAGCACAGCACGGCACGGCGGCCAATAAAAGGCACAGCACAGCAATTCTATGCTTTTCACAGCTTAGTTAGGCCTAACACAAAAAAACCTTTCCGGATATATAAACCCGGTGTCAGCCAAACCATCCTACGAGTACCTGCCGTTACCTGCCCATCACTCGTCGACAATTTCGACACAACACAAAACAGGTTCCACCCACCAAATCACAAAACGAAGATCCCCGCCGCCGCCCGTCCGCCGCCCCCGCCCCATCAAACAAACCCAACCAAAGCACTACCAAACCCTCCAAGATGTCAACCATCTCCTCAGCAATAACCTGGACCCTCCAACGCCTCTCCAACAGCTCCCCACCACCACCCCCAAGCGGACCACCGCTCTCCGAGAAACCCCCAACACGGACCCCAACGCCCCTCCTCCCCCTCCAACCTCCGCCACTCTCGCCGATAACGCTAACCGGCTACTCCCCGAGCACAACCACACGACTAATGAGCCTAGACTTGGCGGAGGAAATCCGCATACTACTACCGCCACGCCTGCAACTGCACGAGACCTGGTCGCTAGGGTACTCGCTAGAGCAGCACGGGGTTAGTCTCTCCACCCTATACGACAGGACGGGCACGGGCGCAGCGACCGGAGGGGGGTACGTGCTCGCGGTCCGGGATTCCGCCGGCGGGGTAAGTTCTCCCGTCCGTGGAACGAACGGGTTGCTAACGCGCTGTGGAACAGATCTTCGGTGCCTTCCTGAACGAACCGCCCAAGCCAACCGGTCGCTACATTGGCACGGGGGAGTGCTTCCTGTGGAAGTCCTCGCAAGCGCCGCTCAGGTTCCGGGCGTTTCCGTATAGCGGAATTAATGATTACTTGATTCTTGCGGACGGGAATTACTTGTCTGTTGGTGGCGGGTATGTTCATTGTTCTCCCCCGCTGCGCTGAAGGGGAAGACGACTGATTTGTTGTTGTCCGCGGACGGAGCAGGGACGGTAAATACGGCCTCTGGCTAAACGATACCTTCGATAAGGGTCTTAGTCAAGCGTGCGAGACGTTCGGAAACGAACTACTTAGTGAGGAAGGCGAGAAGTTTGAGGTTATTGGGGTGGAGGTTTGGAAGGTCGGGTGATGCTATGTTTCCGGGTTATCTGATGTGGAAATGGCGTTAGGGTTCTTTTTTCTTCTTCCTTTTCTATTGCTATCGCCTCGTCTTGTCCATCTTGTCCATCCATCCTTAACAGGTACGGAGAAACACCATATTATAAGAAAGCAAGGCAAAAAAAAAAAAAAAAAAAAAAAAAAGATAGACAACAATCTACTCAATCCTCTTCCCTCCACTCAACTCATCTCAATCCAGAAACCCCACCCCCGGAGACCCCCAGTGATACCATACTCGAGTATGATACAGCACATGCTACTACTACAGTACCCCCTCATACCTCCACCGCATACCCCTCTCCTAGCACCCAAAAGCCATAACCAAACCTCGCAGATGCTGTGAATTCAAAACTCTCTTTTATCAAAACTAGACCTCCTGTTGTCCCGGATCGCTGGCTGTACCGGACGGGCGGATTCTCTCTTGGGCTCTGGTCATCCAGAATAGAGAGGTGCGGCCGGTACTCGAAGCGCTTATGGATCATGATCTTTGCTACTCGTACTACGGTGCATTTACACCGGAATTTGCTTTTCCCGCGGGCTCATGCGTGAGGGTATGATAGAGCGTGGACGGCTGTTAGGAGGCTGGTTTCGGGAGTAGGTTTGGTCGAGGCGCACCGATGGCCCAGCGCTGTATGGTACAGGCCGCGGTGGTCATGATAAGAGAATCGTGTTGTCGTCGCAATTAGCCGGTGTTCACAGATCATCACTCGAGTTCTGGGCCGTAGGCCGCTACTCGCTGTCCGCTGCCTTGCTTTTCCCCTCCCCTTTCTCTTCTACAATCTTTGCGGATGGGATTAGTGACACATTGCACTTGCATGATGGTTTTGGGCCACTGCGGTGGCCTAATAGTTTGTGAAGATTTCATGTGCTATCATTAGAGTCGTGGTAAGCTACGCAGGTTATCATAAAGTTATCTGCTACCGTAGCTCCTAGCGTGTACAGTACAAGATGTAATAGAGATGTGCAAATACCAAGAGCACCAGCAACGGGCCCACACCGACCACTACTGTGATTACTGCCGGTGGGTTCCAACCCCCCCCCCGGACAGGGAAAGTTCACAACAGACTATTCTGAGATCAGCTTTTAGAAAAAGAGAACGCGACCCAACCCAACAAACAAACAAGTTCCCATTTACCAGTGACCAGCATTAGAGTCAGAGCTTCTCCCGTGACGGGCCCCTTCATCGATGGGCGGGGAGCTTGTCCTCCCTAGAAGAATTGGATCCGGTAGGCCGCCCTTGTCCCCCTCACGGCCGGTCCAATCCAAACGCTTGAGCTCTTTGGGGAGATACTCTACGGCAACCTGAACCGGGGGAAACGCGCACCAATTCCGGACTCCTCCAAGTCTAGCCCTAAATACGTCGAGATCCGAGAAACCGCTATAGGTAGTCTCGAATCCCTCCACCAATCTTTCGGGGGGCCAAGCATCCCCCCCCTCGTCTAGTTGCTTTCCAGGCTGATTGGATCGTCTACCACCACCCTTTGAGGCCGGAACGGCAAAAGGTGGGGCACGAGGATCGAAGGTACCTTCCGGTAGATCCATCCAATCAGTTCCTTGCCCCGAGTACCTTGTACTCGTATCGGGACTCTCCACACAAACCTCTCTCCTGCCACTTTCGTTGAAGATTGAGATTTGTTCACCTGAAGAAAACACACTAGGATAAAGGAGCATTACCTCCTCCGCTTGTGCGAAATGGGTTGGGTTAGAATGCTGGAGCGCAATGAAGCTATCTTCTAGAACACTAATCCCAACACCCCCAGTATAGATACTTCGGTCCTTGGAGATTTCGTTTCCGCCAACGCGTTTGGTCGCAGAATTTTCATTTAAGGATTTAGCTGTAAGTGGTTCGTCGGTTCCGGCCACCAGTTCGTCATCATCAGGTTCATCGCATGCTCCAGATTTCAACATGGCGTGAGTGGTTGATTGACTAGAAGGTCTATTCGGGACTTTTAGTATTTTTTTCATAGAGATGCCAAGAGAGTGATGTACTTGCCTGCTGTTGAGATCGCTATTGTCGGTATTTGAATGGTGGAGGGATGCAAGAGAATTGATCCCATAGAATGAAATATTCTCCTTACTTGCAGAGCCCATCCCCAGAAGAAGGGGAATAGCTTCCTCCCTCGGGGAATCAAACCCATCTTCGGAGCCAAACCCATTCATACACATCAAACGATCAATGAACAAATCAGCCTGGTAACACCCGGGACTTATGGTCACCAACCCTGGCTTATCGAGTCCAATAACATCATCCAGAGGTTCTCCCAAGCTGGTAAAGGTAAGTCCGGCAACGATAGGGTCGCCTGGAGCCAGCCTCTCAACTTTCCCATCGTCGTGGCACAAGTACACGACAGAACCCTTCGCCATAGTCCCCCAATCAAACTGGTAAGTTATAGGTTCCGCTTGGTGGCGGAAGACCAAACAAGACTTAGGAATATAGCAGGTAGCAGGAAGACTGCTCCAATAAAGGTACCTCTCAGCAGGGACGTTGCTGAGAAAGTACCACCTGAAGCCCAGGCTGTGCTCGTTACCAACATCTGCTTCGCGGCTGTCGACCCGATCATGCAGGCAGGGGTCCGTTTCCTCCTTTGAGTTGGCACACGGTTCGCCGCTCGTTGATCCAGAAGATGGGTTTTCCAAGGAGTTGATCTCAAGATTTGCTACGTCGGCTCCTGCAATACGAATGGGGAAATCAGAGGCCGATATTCTTATATTTTCGGGCCCAGTGACGATAATATAGTGGATGATGTCGGCCCTCGATCCGTCGGAAAGGTACCTTGCCAGGCCCGTGGATGCGTAGTCGAAAGTAGGCATTGTGTAAGGATGAAGTCTAACGCCAAATAAAGAATCTCTTTTGGGAAAATGGGGCAGGTGGGAAAGCAGGGAAGCGGGAAGAGAGTATTGACTAGGGTGTTCTGTGCTGCCAGGCGAGAGATGTAACAAGGTGGGAATCCCCCAAAATTGCAATTTGGAGGGGCAACAATATTGGGAACTCTCGACCGGCAGATTCGATTTGAAAGTCGATGCAGGAAGGCAGGGCAGGGTGTTCGGGAGGAAACGGTGATGTTTGTGGAAGGCCACGACGCCAGCCCTTCCACCGCCATGCAAGCCCCCCACGAAGCACTTTTGTGGCAGAAACAGGTCTTAGGTTAGAATATTGACATATCCGAATACTTTCCACATGATTTGGGAGACGTTGCCTCCAACATTTTGTACTCAGCTATACATCACGAACCTGCCACCCCAAACGGTTGTGGTGTTTTAGCAAAACCTGTCAGCGCTATCCTTTCCTCAGACGGCTCGGCGTATCAAACTGTGGTGGCCCATTTGAGAATATACACAGAAACCCGACACACAATTTCACCCAGCACAAGATTGGTGGGGAAAGCCAAGACGGATAACGCTGCTTCCACATTGTCTACTGGAGCAGATAATTCAGCAGGATAGTACGGTGAAATCCTGTATTGTGGAAACCTGTACAAGTACAGCACTATATCATCCTGCGCGGTACTGCAAGCCACGTACCGTACAGCGCATTTGTGATATGGTTAACCCTACAGTCGCCGAGATCCACAGTATCATAGTAGATCAACGGTGTCGATGCATCATAAATCTAAACGACGCCCCGATCCGCATTTAGCACTGTATGATACCTACTATACTTCTTTGACAATAACATTATGATATTATATACACATAATACTGAAGATTCATACCGACATTCTACCACACGCTGATGATGTGAAACCAACCAACCTTTTACTCGCACCCGATCGCCTCAGCCATACATAAACTCCAGTCAACCCACCAGAGACTATCATAAAGTATATAATGATATTATTATTATATCTAAGAAAAAGCTTAACTGCAAGCAGATACAGCCTCGCTCTACGGCTGAGGCATCAGAACCCAACAGCGCCGATTTTGACCCAAGGAGAAATCGTCTCCCCCCCGGACCCGCAGTCCAGGAAACCTGAACGAAGCTACCGTACATGGTGGCTACGATACTCGTATAGTGCCATAGTAGCGAAGACAGTCATACCCTAGCGTCCCGGATCTTAGAACTCGGATACCTCGTTGTCTCTATGAAACTCTGTGAGTCCCAAATCTCTTCATACCAAAAACCTGACCTTGTTGTCCCGGACCAATCGCTATACTCGAGTACCAGAGTAGCGGAGTGTGAATGTAGGGGGGGGGAACACGGCAGTACCGGTAAGGGAAGGAGGAACTACTCAAGACTACAGGTTACAGAGAAAGCAGCCACCTTTGCGGGCTTATCCCCCGATTATAGAATACGGTACTCGAACAACCAAATTAGTAACACCCTCATGCGATTCCGAGGAAGAATGGAAGAGAAAAGGGAAGGGGGGGAGGGGAAAGAGGAAAGAGGGGGGGAGAAACCAACGGAAAAAAGGGAAAAAACGAAGAGGGAAAATCTCCCGTTGGTCTGTGCTCTCTCGCGTCTCTCTCTCTCTTTTTCAGCTTCGAACGTTTGTGCTTTTCCCTCCTGCCTGTTTGTCTGGTTGGCCTGCGATTCTCCGCAGCCCATTGTGTACGGTATTTTTGCGTAAACCTTCTGTGCTCTACAGGTATTATGCTGTAGTCATCGTACCGTGCTGAAAGTTCTTTGCGGCCGTAACCATTATAAAGGTCCAGTCGCTCCCCTGCCATCCCAGACGGCCGAACTCCAAAGAATCCATCCGCTGCAGCGGGTGATCCGTGGCGACAGGTCAGGCTCTGGCATGAAGAAATTTAGAATTCACAGAGGTTCGTACGGGACAGCGAGGTATCTGGATTATCGAGATCCGGGTTGTACAGTGCAACATAAGCAAGCGAATCGTGCTACGGACATCGTAACGATAATCAGACCTTTCAGGAAGACTACGGCTGCGTGCCGGACCGTAAGAAGCTGTGCACTGTATATGACATTTTATGGGAGATAACAAAAACCTTTCCCCTGAGTTCCCTCTCTCTCTCTTCCCCCCTCCCACTCTTTTTCCCGCTATTCCTTCCCAATCCCCTTTTTGTGACCCTGCAGTACCGTAGAGTACTCGTACAGATGCGATGAGGTAAGGAGGTCCATTCTGCCTACAGTAGGCGAGGAGCGTATTTATTGCTTCGGCACCCTGCTTTATGTATGCTCCATACTGCACGAGGACCGGCACTCCACAGCAATACCAACGCTCGGATTGGTCAAGTCCAAGGTGGGTACGGGTACTTGTAGAGTGTTGTTGTAGGTAATACTGTATGATATATACCAGCACCGCTGATAGGGTATCAACCTATCGATAGAGGTGCGGTTGGATGTGTGATAACTAGCCAATTCTCCCAGCTTGCTTGACCCTCGCTGCGTGTCTAAGGGGTTCCCCGCGGAGGGGATAAGGGGTCCTCTCCCTTTAAAAAAGGACTCGACCGAGACCGGAGCCAAAGCTACGGTACGGGTATTCTTTGGAAACTGTAGTCAGCATCGCAGTCCAGGAATGCCCCCAATTGTCGATTTCTGGCAAGTCCGTCTGAGGGGGCTCGGGTTCCATGGTTGTTTTCTAAGAAAATGCGGCTACTGCACGCGTCGGCTTTTTATTTTCTTCCCCTTCTCGCTCCTCTGCTTCCCAGTGCCGTTTTTCACCAGGCTGGGGGAGGGATACCCATGCACTCGAGTACTCGTACGAGTACAATACTCGAGTACTAGTACAGTAACCGTAACCTTAGGGGCCCAGCCGTGTCGTTTCCTTTCCTCGCTCTTTTTCTCCCCCCCTTCCTTGCTGGGCTACCGTATTAGATGATGGGGTCACTGCAGCTTGTCGGACCAGGGGGACAGGCCTAAAAAAAGGTATTCTAGTCCCGACAGAAAACGGTGGAAGGTTGAACTGGTCAAATTGATCAACTTGTCATATGGCAAACTTGTTGAGTCTGGTTGGGCTGAGATCTAGGGATAATTTACAATTTGGCACGGGGAATTTTCGTGGTAACCGCACTGCAGCGTTGGGAAACAACGTGATTGAAATATCATATATCTCGTAGCAATTATCACTATGCCATTTCCATTTTTTTTCTTTTTCTCTTCCCACATACGAGTACTCGTACAGTACTCGCACAGTGTGGAACATGGCGTTGGGGGAGTTATTTGATGGCTTGATGGTATGGTTGATCCATGATAAGCAGCGGGTGGGTGGGGATTTCAGGTTGCGAGAAGCTCCTCAATCCCCGATCCATCCTGGAATGGAGGGACGGGGACGGACGCTTCTACGCTGCATGGCTGCACGGTCGAGGTCACAGTTTTGGATCACTGGCTGCTTGGATGGGTTAGCTTTGTCTTGCCCTCCCTCACTTCCTTGCTCCCCAGTCTATGCACCGGTACCGTGCTCTCGCCTTACTCTCTCATCCTAGCACTACCAGTGCTTGGCAGGAGGGACAAAGTGTGAGAATACCGGTATACAGAGCGAGTATGAGTGCTGGTACGAGCCGTGAACCGTCCCTCTTTCGCTCTGTTTCTCCTTGTGTTCTTGTGTCCATATATATATACCGTGCCGGCTATCTGTTTCTTTCGAGGAATGCGTCTGCCGTGCTTGGACGGGGAATATGGTTCATGTTGAGGGATCAAGGGGGAGGGGGGTGGGATATATGTATTAGAATATAGTACTCGAGTACTTGAATACAGGATAGGGTAGGATTGGAGCAAGGTCTCTCCTGTCACGTACATTGGGCAACCACTGCACGAGTACAGTACAGTACTCGTACTGTGCGGCACTGTCGCCCCTCGCTGCTGCTGTGTTCCTGCGACTCTTTTGCACTACTTGATCTTCCGCTCCATGCTGCCCGCTGCTCGCACAACCGGGAATGAGAGTACGAGTGCTCGTATAGTAGTAGGTGCGGCGCATTACCATACCATAACATAGGAAAGGGAAGTCTATAGAAAGGAAGGAAGAGGTGGACAAGGCTAAGTGGAGGACATTTTGGGGATACTTGCACATTATAATCCATCTCACCAGACAATCAATCACCACCACCACCGTCATCCTCTCTCCCCTCAAACCTCCACTCTCTCTTCAACCTCATCTCCCTCCCTCTCCTCCTCCCTTCACTACCCCCCCCCCTGAGGAATACCGGTAACTCGTTCTCTACATCTCCCTCTCCAACTCGCATTTGACCAAACCCCTCCTTTCTTTCTTGCAAACCTTTTCTTTTCTTTTCGTTCCACACATACTTTTATTCTAGCTTAGTTCCCGCCCATCCACCGGTATCACTGTAAGGCTGTCCATTCCTGATTTTCGAAGCCTTTCCAGTCCCTCTCAACCTTCTCTTCATATTTTCTCCCTTCTCTGCTCTTTTCCTCGTCCTTTGTCTGCCATCTCTCTCTCTGCCCGTGTGTGTTTCGTCTCACTTTGCCCTTCCTCCCTTTGGCCGCCCCTCGACTCGGGAAGGGCCCTCCCAATCCCACGACCTAGTCTATAACCATCGGCGACGCAAGCACCGATAGAACGCCCTCACCCACTCAAAGAAAAAAAATCAAAAATCAATATCATACACAAGTAATAGACCAGCTGCTTACTATCTCTTACTTTCGCTCGGTCCCCTCACTCACACATTTACTCCCCCTGCCCACACTAATTCTTTCTCACCTCACTCAATTGATTCTCGCCACTTTCATACATAATCCTGCCGGCACTTACTCGATCCCTTCCTTCCTTCCTTCCCCAAGGGTTAATTCACCCTAAACCCATTCCCTTTAACATCGACCAACCATCCCACCTTGTAAAACTCTTCTTCCCGCTCCATCATCCATTACCACCACCCCATCACCTTATTCTCCAGAGCACCTATCATTCATATCCCCCACCCCCATCCTTTTACTTCTAAATCCACATTAAATTAAACTTTCTCATCATCATCATCACATTTTCCACTTCGCTTTTCTGCATTGTTAAATTATCCAAGGTGGCCAAAGAAAAAAAGATTAAGGATTCAATCGTGGGAGTTTCGTCATCCTGTCTCTTTCAGGGATTCGTACAGTAGGCACGGGAGCTTGAGAGAGAAAAAACAAAAAAAAGATGTCCTTCGGTCATGACTCAATATTAAGCGGTGGCAGTTCGGGGTCAAGAGAAGGTTTAGCGATGAATTGGTATGATTTCCCCTTGATCTGAGAATTAGCCTCATCCAATACTTTGCTCATTCTCGCAATGAGCAACGGGCTGATCTTCCATTTGATAGGGTGCTGGATCATGTACTCGCCTACCCTGCTACATACGACTTTGCTCTACCACTTAGAACCATTTACATACTCAACTCGACAACACCTCATACATCTCCTGCTGATTTTAAGTTACTACTTCTAGAACATATATCAAATCTTCCATCTCAACCTTGCACTCTTCCACCGTCATTTCTTTCTACTTTTGTCAGGAAATGTTTCCCGCGGGACCTGGAAAATGTCCAGTTTGATCAGGCATTCACGGCGTTGGATTATATCCGGGACCTGGAGGTCCGGAGGTCAAAGGAGCTGGAGAAGGCTGCCAGAGCTAGGGGTGAGGGTGACCGGAGAATAGTAAATCTCAGGGTCAAGTCTATTAGGACCGAACAATTTTATGCTAGAGCTATTGCCGGCATCAGACGCTGGGTGAGTTTATTGGCTCCGTGATTTTCCGTTTTCATGGATAATATCTTTTCCGAGGCGCTTAAGTTAATGTTCGCATTGCATAAAAAGACCTTGCTCCACGAACTTTCCATCACACCATTCAACAAGTTCAACTGCATTGCAATCCTCAACACACTCTATCCGATTGAAGAAGCCGACATCAACTCGTATTTACCCGCACCCACACTCGCCAGCCAACGTCATGCACTTTGGCGGTACATCACCGGAGTAGAGAAAAATGGACCGGGAATATTAGAATCTGTTCGAACCAGCAATGGCGGTTGGGCGGGGGTTAGTGAAGCCGTAAACGCATATCTCAGATTGTCCCTAGATATGATCCAGAAGGCGGACGAACTGGCGAGACCATCCAGCATCGGCAGTTTCCGGTCAGATGACAGTATGGACATGGGCGCAACATCAATCGCTCACACAGCACCCGAGAGGAAGCGGAAGAAGGGCGGGTTTCTGAGAAGAGACACGATTAGCAGCGAAACATCGGAAGAAGAGGATGGGAAGGCGAGCACCTTGGAACGCATTGTGAGAGGTCTAGCTAGACTGGGATCATCTCAGCAGCATCTGGGCTCGCCTAAAAAGCTATACGAGAGTGATGCCGGCAGTGAGGAGGACTTTCCCATGAGATATGATTGATCGATCGTTGCAAACGAACCGGGAAAAGGGGAAACGAGTGTTTGGTGGAGACGAAATGAAATGCTTTACCGATTTTGGCTGGCTGGGGCGGATGGAGTTGCTGTCCATCGGCAATTCACGAACCGGAATGACAATGAACCAAAAAGAAAAAAAAAACCCCGAACGAAGCATACACGACGGCGGTATACAAGGGGGCCTTTCTCTCTCTTTATATATCATATCTATCCATCTTTCGGACAGGCGCAGATACCACACACATATATTATGACATGACTTTGTGTTTTTGTCCTTTTTTCTTCTCTTTTTCTACCCTTTTCCCTTTCATTTTTATTTTTAAATGGCACAGCGGACGGAACTTTTCACGAAAAAGAAAAAATGAAGGACAAGAAGGTAGGGGCGACCCTGGAAATGCACTTATCGGTACGACATGACCTACGAACAAAGCGAAGACTTGCTCGCATTTTATTTATTAAATTTTATTCTTCTTCCGTGTTGGGGATTTTTTTATCTTTTTTGTCCCCCTCCTTTTTTCTCTCCCCCCCTTTTCTCCCCTATCCTGTTGAATAACTACGCACGATACCGCTGCACACTCTTCATGTGAGCACGGGTTCCTTGTCCTTTTTTTCTCCCTCCAATTCTTGGTCGATAGGAGAGGTTGTCCGTGTCAGTGTCACACCATATCACCCACCCCCACGGAAGTCTTCAACCAAATAAAATAAAATAAATTCGACGCATAACACAAGGGAATGGCGTATTGTTATTTTCATCATTTTCATTTCATTTATTTCATTACACGGGGGCCCTTTTTGTTTACTTGCTGGTTTGTTTGAGTCTCTAGGAGTTGATAATTGTGCATACATTTTATTATTTTATTCGCCCTTTCTATCTTTCATTGTACTGCATATGGATTGGCGGGATTTGGCATCATCACGGTATCGTCATGCTTGTGGAAGTGAAAGCGAAATGAAAACCAGAGATATCCATTGTATTGTACCATACCCATCCATCTATCCATTCACCCATTTATTAACATCCCAAGCTCGAAAAGGATAACCAATAGCAATGTAAAGAGCAGGAATAAAGTAAGAAACCCACACAGACTATAAACCTTAACCAAGCCGCCAAAAACTAGGTTTTTTTTTTCTTTTTCACCATAGTAACAATATGTAACTTATTTGTTCCACTGTACAATGCGCTGTATCCAACTAACCAACCAAGCACAGTCAAGAAGTGGAATGAGGAAAAAAGAAGGAAAGAAAGAAAGAGGGCAGCGGAGGGGGAATTATCGTTTCCTCGTAAGCACCATTTCCAAAACCTCCTCCAGCCCATCTTTAGCCTCGGACGGCGGGAACGAAGATATGGCCTGCCGCGCAGTGTCACAGAACGACCCGGCCAGTGCGAGCGTGCGGTCTATGCCGTTTGATTTGTGGACCAGCGCTCTTGCCTACCCTCCCTCTCCCCCATTAGCCACCACAACACAAGTGAAGGGAAAGAATGGGTACCTTCTCGGCATCGCCGTCGAGACAGAACCTCCTCTCAATCAGTTCCCCGAGTTCTCCAAACTCCTCGCACGCGTAGAAGACGGGCGCAGTGGCCAAGCCTAGTTCCAGGTCCGCGCCGGCCGGTTTTCCAATCTGATCGTTGGAGGAGGTGTAGTCGAGCACGTCATCCACGAGCTGGAAAGCGAGTCCGAGGTGGCGGCCGTAGGAGTACGCTTTCGCAGCGACGTCTTCGGTAGCGCCGCCAAGGACGGCGGTCGCGCGGCATGACTTGGATATCAGGCTAGCGCTCTTGAGGTATGTCTTCTCGAGGTAATACTCGAGTGAATCGCGCAGGTGGGCTTCACGCGAAGACTTGCTTGTGAAGTCGGCGGTGGTGCCGGTTGCTGTGTTCTGCAGCTGGAGGAGCTCGCCCTTGACCAGTTCGGCGATCACTTCCGCTAGCAGTTCTATAACCTCTGGGTTTCGTAGCCGCGCCAGATACACGCTCGCCCGGCCGAGCATGTAGTCGCCCGCCAGGATAGAGAGCTTGTTTCCTGAGAGAGAATTGGCGCTGGGATTTCCGCGCCGGGTCTCGGCCTGGTCGAGGACGTCGTCGTGCAGGAGTGTTGCTGTGTGGATCAATTCCACGATTTCCGCGAGACGGCGTTGGGTTCCCAAGACCTGTACCCTTTCCCCCGTCGTCCCCGCTGCGACTTCGCCCGGACCGAGAATGTCAGCGGGCATGAGCCGACTGCTGAGCAGCGCTAGATCCGGATTTGTATCCCGCAGGATCTCGGCCGGGGCTACGGTGTTGTTAAAGATCTTTTCCAATTCTGCGCTTGCGCGCCGCCAGCTCTGCCGCTTCGGGGCGACGGCGGTGGCCCGTGACATTAGGAACACCACCATGGGACGGAAAAGCTTGCCGTTCGCTTGGAGGTAGTATTTTGATGCCTTGTCAAGCCCCGGTAAGTTTGTGGAACACAGCAGAGAGATTTGCGATTTCAGGTGGGTGAGTTCTGGAGCGACAATTTCCTCTGGCTTTACCGGGCGGCGGAGGGGTGGGGGTGTGCTTCCAAGCGGTAATGTTGAAGGTGTGGGAGGAGTGGGTGGGAGTGTCAGGTCTTCCAGAGGTGAAGTTGCAGCGGAGGTGGAGCTATATCTTGCTGACCGCCGGAGTGGTGGCGGTATTCGAACATGTCTTGTGAATCCGTTGCTGTTGCCGCCGCTGCGGGCGAGGAGGAGTGGCCGGCGGAGAGAAGATGCCATTAAGGCGGGTGACCGACGCCAGACTAATCGGACGATTTGCTACCCGCAACCCAGCAGGTGAGATGGCAACTGAACAGCGAGGCTCAGATCAACTCGAGGAATTCCAATTGAGTGAGTATCCGAGAGAGTCTCCAACTCCGCCCAAATAACCCCTCTCCCGTTCTTCCTTCTTCCTTCTCCGTTCAAGCAGCCAGGCCTTCCACAATTCCGCCGAGATAAGCGAAAGTGAGTTTTTGGGAAGAAGGGAAGAAAGGAAGAGAAGGAAAAAGGGGTGGGATGAAAGCAGGGAATGAGGGTAAGGTAATGGAACAAGAAGAGAGATGTTTGATGGATGGCTGGTTGGTGGGGAGGGAGCAAGTACTGTACGAGTACTGTACCGTCTGCTGCGCTAGGGTACCGGTAATGGTATGCCAACTAGGCGACGAAAGAAGTTGACCCCCACTTGGGTTTTGCACACAAAATGCAGAAGTTTAGCCAACCACGGCAAAGGTGCACAGTAAATTCTCTTCTTTAAACAGGAATCGGATGAAAGAGGATCACAGAGAATTTGACGTATAAAATTACGATTTTTTTTTCCCTTCCCCCGAGCACCAGCAGCAAGTATCGGTACGAGTACTCGAGCAAATGAATTTCGCCGGCATGGTTGTCTTGCCGAAATCAAACAAAGCCCGCCCGTCTTGGCAATATTTTTGGTCTTGTCATCCAGAACCCGAATTTATGGAGTAAATGGCCTTCAATTATGTGAGCCCCGTGTCAAACTTTGTCTATCTTAGACACCCCCTAGGTTATGGTGGTAAGTAGGAGCCCGTTGGGAATGAACATTTTATATGGAAAACCTGGCAGGCGTCGGTTCCCCTAGTCGGCCGGCATGCAAGTACCGGTACCGTACTCATACTTCTACTTGTACCCTATCGTGATAATAATAATAATAATAAAACTTCCGGTTAGTTATCACCGAGCACCGAGGATTTTTTTTTTTTACCGCCAACAATTCCCCCTTAAGGTGGGGGTTAACCGGGGATGAGGGAGAAAAATAAGACTTGGCATGTATCAATATAATATATACCGGTACCGGTACTTGTGCAGACTGGCATTTCCGTGATATTATTAAATTATCTGATTAGATTTGGGATCTATCGGCAGCCGGCCCGGCAAAGGCGTGTTTTTTTGTGAGTGCATTTTTGCCGAGACGAGAGGCTGGAGAGTTTGCCCCGCCGCCATGATTGGGGGGGGGGGGTGAGTGGATCATGGCGAATCACGTCGGTGGTAGATTTTGGTTCCGAAATTCAGTTAATGTATGATACGAGTATCATACCGGTACTGTATCCATCTCGACTACCGGTACTCGAGTAAATTTACGATAGATCCTGATTTCTGTAAGATAGGGCGCCACGGGTGCCGACTAAGTTACCAAACGCTCCGCACGTTCTTGTACGGCACTGGCACTCCAAGTGTTCCTTCGCTAGAAGCTTAGGGGCCTCATAACCCCCTCCTAACGTCCTCCAACCCCGCCAGCCTTCACCACGGCAATCTTACTCCGGGAAAAATAAAATAAACGGGGAGAACAGCCTTCTCCGGTACTCTAGCCTCCCGCGCTCGCTCGGCGTCCTCTCCCGATTCGCTTGGGGGGGACGGCGTTTGGAATCTGCGCTTTTTTAATACTCGAGTGGTGATGGATCGGGTTCCGGGTTGTTGGGCGCGCTTCTTGGCGCTGGTGGGGGGGGGTGCTGTTTGATCGGGAGCTCCTGGTATTATTTAGTGCTCTGTATAGCGCTTTACTGGTGAGCGGCACTACAGCAATATTGTGAGGAAGAGGAAGGGTATTTACAGCACTCACTGGCGCACTATACCGGTGTCATATCATAAGAAACTCATTCCACACCCTTGCCCCTCCCCCGTTACCCCGACGACATCATGAAATGCTCACCCTCACACTCCCACCAGGTATGAGTTAGTCTATGATACCGTACCTGGCTCGAGTTAGACTACCCGCAGTCCAACTCCCAAACAGCGACCCTCTGGATACTCGTACAGGTACACATATCATACACATAGCTACAGGCTACAATAAGCGCAATTACGATACTCCACCCACAACCCGCGAGCATCACGCATAACATCCTCCGCGCGCACCGACAACACGGTAGACTACGGGTAAATAACTCGTTCCCTCGCAAAAAGGAATAATTGTCCGTGACGGCGGCCCAGTTGCGAACCTGGTTACTTTACTATGATAGTATAAAGTAGGAGAGAGAGATCTGCGGCACCAATACTGTACGAGTACTTGTGCCTGTAGTATAAATTTAGGGTATTCGCCGTTACACAGACCCGGTTGGCTGCAAGCGTGATAAGGTGAGTAGCAACAAGTACGGTAAGTACCGGTACCGCCAAGCTGCCAGATCGCAGGCGTTGTGGGGGGTTAGGGTTACCGTACAAGCACTGCACTATAACGGCTAATGTACCGGTACAGTACTGAGCACTGTACCGGTACTTGAGGCGGATTTTCAATGGTTCATGTACGAGTACAGTTATCATGCCAGGCAACCACAGTGGCCGGTGGGAAGGCGAGGATGCCGGTTGCTGTCTGTCTGTCTGTCTGTCTGTCTGTCTGTCGTCTAGTCTATATGATTGTTTCGTGGTATTTCCTGGAAGCGTGACTCCGACTGCTGTATGGTATGATGCCGCCGCTATGTACTCGTACGGTACGAGTGGACTGCCTGACAATGCTGCCATCGCCAATGAGGCCAGAGCGGAGGCAACGGAGCAGAGCCTCCAGTCACAACACTCGCACAACACCCACAAATCACTCGCTGTAAACGTCATCAAAATTGCAGCAAAATGCCTCATGACCGTCTGCGTTACCTACTCAGTACGAGTACAGTACTCGTACCCTACTGAACCGACAACAACAACGACACATCAACAGCCGCTGCCGCCGATACTACCCGTTAGGCTCCCTCGCTCACAATTAGAAAGTCTACTTAGTACCGGTAGATATCTTCAACATCGTCACAAAACGGGATGGAATTGAATCCATCATCTACCTTGCCAACGCTCTGCAAATGGTTCAAGACTTTTTTGAAAAAAAAAAAAAAAAAAAAAAAAAAAAAAACCATTTACTGTAGTTGCTATTGAAATTGGTTCATTCACCAGTCCATCCGTTTGTTTGCTTGTTCGTCATTCATTCATTCATTCATCCATCCATACCTTCCATAATACATAATACATATAATAAAACATGTCTCCGACAAAATGCATGGATAAAACCCCCCGCTAATTTATATATAAGGGAAAAAAAGAAAAGAAAAAAAAAGAAGACATAATAATAGTACATCTTTTGAAAAATGAAATAAAATAACATAAACTTCTGCAAAAAAAAAAAAAATTAATAGAGAGATAATGAAAATCCGAAATACAATCCTTTTATGCCATGCTCCAGATGCCACGCGCAGTACAATGGAAAAAGTGATGAATGAGAATGATGAAATATGGAAGGAAGTGGAGGAAAGAGGAAGAAGAAGAAAAGAAAAGAAAACATTATCAGAAAACCTGTATAAATGCCCGTGAAACCCTTATTGAAAGAACAGGATAAAAAGAAATAGAAAAAGAAAAAGAAACCCAGCCCCGTTTTAATACCCAAGGAAAGGAGATACAGAATGAAAAAGGAGAATCGTTCAGGCATTTACGATCGTGACATTAAGAAGCGAAAAGGTATAAGAAATTGGGGGAATTTATAATTCCATATCGACTTCGTAATCCGAAGTTTGCGATCCGGCGTATGAAGTTCCGACAGATACCGCCTCGACAGAGCCATCTCTCTGTCTGATAATCCTTCGTCGAATCCGTCGCTCGGAGCTTTGCGAATCGAACCCACTATCATAGTCCGAATCCGAACTCCCGACCGATTCCGTGTAGCTTCTCTTCGCTTTCCTTGGCTGAACCCCGAATTTGAAGTGTTGCTGAGCCATTGCTTTGGCAATTGGTGAGGGTCCCCGACCGGCCGAGAGCATTCCAAAACTATAAACGATCTCCCGCTGAGATTCGTCATCGGAATCGGAATCGTACATTTCCCTCCCGTAGTCTGGGGACGGCTCCTCGTATTCGCCAATTAGAAGCTCTACCCCGCTGTCTCCGTATTCGTCTTCGATCTCCTCGATCTCGAAATCGTCTGCATCATCGCAGTGGTCCGTGTAGTATGAGCATTGTGATGGGGCGGGTGACGGGCTCAATGACGGTGGGGTATGCGGCCGCGAGAGGTCGCGAGGAACGTGACCAAACCGGTTGCGACAGTCTTGTGGAGCAGCGTGTATCCGTAGTTTCTGCCATTCTGAGTGAACTGTTGAGTTCATTGGGGCGAGGCGAGGAGATGCGGACGGGATGGGTCTTGGTGAGGTAGACTGGGTGGTCCACGATGGGGGCGTGTGAGGCCTTCGGCTGTCCATTAAAGCTGGCTGCTGGCACTACGGAGGTATGTGTTGATGGGATTAGAGATTGATATGAAGCTTGGAAGCCGTGTGGTAGCAGTAATCTAACTTGGGATCTGCGCTGGAGGGGAAGGAGGAGGTGAAGTAAAGGATGATGATATTCGGAGCGAGCTGTCTGCTGCCTGACAGGGAAAAGAGCGGGTCTTATAGGGAATTGGGATGAGGCTCGCATATGGAGAGAAGGAGTGGGGTGGGGGGAATGGTGGGAAGCAAAAGCAAAATGAGGGGAGGGGTGATGAGAATGCGTGAGAGAGTTGTCGGAGGAGGGGTGGAACAGCACAACGGAGATGACTCTGATTGAGGTCTATTTTCGCCCGAGGCCGCCGTTACCATACCGGCAATAAACTCGTAGTTTTTTTTTCCTTCTTTTCCTTTCTTTTTTTCCTACCAGTGCGGTTTGCACATGTCGTCACACCAATCCCACACGGTAGCAAAAGCATCATTTTTGCAAAGAGAGAGGGGGAAAAAGGAAAAAAAATATGCTGTACTCGTACATGAAAAAAAAAAAACCCCCCCGGAGAGGGGTGAAAAGACGGTCACTTGTTTGCCTTCATGCATCTCTGTTATTTCGTTTTCGAACACTTGAGTCACAATGCAATTCCATGCTTCATGAGAACATGAGGAAGCCGGTTTGCAAAGGGAGAAATGGTCCTTGTTGTGCGCAGTGGGTGTGCAGATTGCATCAGTGTGCAGAAGCCACGAAGATTGGGGACGAATAGAGTGACAGGAAGTGACTCTCTTTGCGAAATTGCGGTGCGTTGGTGTCTTTTTTCCTCCTTCACACCAACGGTACCGGGACCCTACCACCGTACCTTCTTACCAGGGTCCAGGGAGGAAGAAGTTTGTGAACAATTGCCCGTGTTCCAGCCTTCGATTTCTGTCTTCTCGAGACCCGAATTCTTACATGCTTGTCACCTTGTTACCGGCACTGCTGGCATATGATACTTGTACCGCTCTCTGCCACCACTGCGCCTGTCTGAGGAGGAGACAGCTTGACAACGCTTCCATACAATCCTCCCATTCTTCCCCCCTCTCTCAAACAACACTCCCCCTCAGCCCCCTTCTCCTTCCCCCCATATCGGGAAGGACAAACGAGCTTGACACAGTATTGTAAAAACACGACAACAACTAAAACAATCGCTTTCCTCTATGTAACCGTAACCGTGCCTTTCTGAAAATCCGCACTTTGGCCTTCATTTGTCGCTCATCGACAGGTATAGGGACCATCGGGAACAAAGATATCTATCTAACTTCGGGGAGAAGAGATCCGGCACCACTTGTATAGACTAGTTGCACGATGCAAGTATAATCCCGTGCCATTTGTTCGGGGAGGAGTGGGATCCCCTCACACACCATACGGGTATGATACTCTTAACCTGCGACAAACATCTATCATATTACCATACCTTCCCACCTGCCACCCTTCTTCTTCTCTTTCTATAACTCCATTTCAAACTATTCGACCAGACGAGGGGATCTAATTTTATCCACCCGATGTTTTCCCACGCTTGCGAGTACAGTACCAGTGCCGGTGGTTGACGAGAGCACCATCTCTTTTCGGTCGTCTGAATACATAACTATCCATTGCTCCGCTTCTCCTACTTCCAGTAAGGGAAGAGCGATAGGGACGGCGAGGTTGGGGGTGCCAGCGAAGAGCATCAGGACAGGATAGATGAGCGATGACAGTGGGCATAGAAAGACCAGTAGATTGGCTGGATAAAGGATGTTGGTGTGGGAGACGGCAATGCTGTAGGTGCGGCCGTCGAGCAAGTAGTGAATATATTGAGTTTGGATTAGAACTACATTATCTCGACGGATGAGGGATCTGAAGAGGAGGCAGGAAGGGATGAAGGGGGTTGGGAAAAGAGGAAAGATCTCGATCGGATCCCCGATACGAACAAGCAGATAATCACCATCGGTCATTCGTTATTTTGCTCAGAAACGAGGAAAGGCGAAAGGGAAAAAAGGAAGAAAGAAAAGGAAAAAAAAAAAAAAGCTTAGCTAGGATCCGAGGTCCAAGGTGCTTCTATTCTGGCACTGCGAACGCCTGGAACAAAGATCATGGGGCGATTACTTGACTGCATCCGACTGTAACCAATTGCAAATTGAGCGTGGAGGCGAATGCGTGTCCTCAAGCCTCTTGGCATATTTTCAGCCGCCTAAACGCCAAAATACCGGTAATGCCAAACGAAAAAGCTCCCACGACACATTCCAAAAGTCTGCTGATAACACCTTGCTTTATTCGATACTACACCCTTTGGAACAACTATCCCATTCGAAGAGATTCTCGATCGTCGGACAACTTTGCATGGACTGACCCGGTATATTTGCTGTCCGATTACCTACATTGAAGCTTGGATAGGATGCGATTGCCCAATTTTGGGGGAAGGCTTTCTGTGGGCCTTCTCTTACTATCACCTTGCGTACGACTGGTTTCATGCGGTCCTGCTGTCGGTGTTGCACTTAAGGCTTCCTGGAATGGTGCGCCATTCTTATTAGAACTATTGTGAGTGCGAAGAGGAGAAAAAAAAGGGGGGGGGGAGTCCCATCATTAACACCATTGTATTCTTCATGAGGCTGTCGTAGGCTAACACCGGGCTGTCTAAAAATAGGGAAACCGCCGCTGAGGAGGTCGGGGCTTCCTATTTTCCTCTACTTGATCGGATAGCGGCAGGCGATTTTGCCAATATAGACTCCGACAAAGCTCTTTACCACGCTTTTCTACGGGTTGCACTGGAGGAGGGGTTCTTGGTGGACCAAGAGGAGCTTGCTTCCTTCAACTTTGCGTTGTCGATACATGCTGCTGCTCCGAGGATAGAAGCTCACTACCACTACTATGAGAACTCTTTGGAGCCCATAATGGGGAGGTTGTATGAGGCCACTTGTGAAGTTTGGCTTCAATGGAGTCAAAAACAGATTTGTGGCACTGATGGTGATTTTAAGGACATGTTAAAGTCTTGGGAGAGATATCGGAAGTACGACGTCTTGCCTTTGTGTGTTTTGTTTGTAGGAAGGTCCTAACGGCTTCCCTAGCAATCGACGGAAGCTTCAGTTTGACCGGGTGCTGGAGACACGAGAAGACAAACCAGCAGCCATCCTTTATGCCGATATTGAAGCCCCAAATTTCAAACGGTTTCACGAGGTACTCAAGGATTATGCCAAACAAGGAATACTTACCTATCGCGTGCGATACAAGCCCCGGACCAACAGGAAGGGACGACCTGTGATTCTCAGTGGGTACGGCGTGGAGTTAGCTCTCAAGAAAACAGACTATATTGTCATGGATGATCGTGATGTCTCTGATGAAGGCGGTGTTAAGAAGGGCAGGGACACACAAACTCCTATCGGAGAATTGGATGATCAAGAGATCCAGGACGTTGAGCCTCTCCACCCAAAGGATATGTCATTCCTTGGAATGAAGGCTGCTAGTTTTGTTATGGATAGCGGAGATCCCCTAGCCACACTTCTGAAACTTCTGCAAGACTTTCCGAAACACGCCTCCTCTGTGGCGGCAATCGAAATTAATCCGGATGTCGCGGATGCACTTCAGGGAAACTGGGACTCCTTTCTTGGCCCCGGTCAGAATGCTCTCTGGATTAACGGGGTCCAGCTTGAAAACTCCGATATTAATGCCTTCGCACTTGTTGAGCATCTGCGAAGGGAGAGGAGATTCGTGAATAGTTTCAAGACTCTTGGGGTTAACTCTTCCGAAGCTGTCCAACTACTGTCCCACCAGATACTCGCCAGTTCTAAGCAGGATGAGGTTCCGCAGAGGTTCGACTATCGTGATAATATCGAGGGCGGAAAGACCATCGTTTGGCTAAATGATTTAGAAAAAGACTTGCGATATCGAGAATGGTCTGCCGCAGTTGATACGGTATGCCGTTCTAGATAAATCTCTCCATTTTCCGTGCTATATCATGTAGCTAAATGCTTTTTATAGCTTCTTCGTCGTGTCTACCCCGGACAGTTGCATCCCCTCCGGCGCAATGTGCACCATCTTGTTGTTCCCGTAGACCTTGCCTCTAAGGACGATCTGGCTTTGATCACCGAGCAGTTGCGTTTGTTTGTCGATAGGAAGATTGCTCTCCGATTTGGAGTAGTGCCTTTGACCGGGACCCCTGAAGGTCTGCGCATCTCACTTTTTGGGGAACAATTGCAAGTGACTAACTCTGATCTAATCTAGCTGTTGCGCAGGCAAAGGTCTTCTATTACTTGAATGAGACTTATGGCCTTCCGGTTGCTTTGGGATATCTTGAATTGGTTAGTAGGCTTTGTGGCGCTACCTAGAGATCCTTGCTAACCGTAGTATAGGCGCTTGGATCCGGCCAATTCTCAAAGCCAAATGCTAAAGTCTTGGATCAAGTTATCAAAGAGGCTGAGCTCATTGAGGGTCGGATCGCACTGTCTTTGGAGGAGGTACTGTCCTCCGAGACTATCGAAGAGCGTATTAAAACGTCTAAATCATGGGCTGGTAGAATGGGCGCAAACACTCTCATCCCTCCGGTGTTCATTAATGGTCTTTCTCTAGCTAGAGACGAGGTATGCGAGCAATTCTCAGTTACGGGGGACTTAGCTGAGAGACGGGATATTATAGCAATGGATGCAAATGATGAGCGCTCGCCTTCAAGTTGATGTTCAATTGACCCAGAGAGCGGTGTATGAGGAAATCGCCAACGACGAGACCGACTTTGCCGTTCTACTTTTGGGTAATGCGGCCACACGTCGGAATTATTATATCTTCCCAGAGGGTGAGGAATCTATCAAAACTACAAATGTTGGGAAGCTTTTGCAAGAATATGCTCGCATCTTTGAGAAGTTACCAACTGTTGTCTCGGATAAGCCAGACAAACTTGCCGAATCCACTATCTGGGTCATTGGTGACTTTGACGAGAAGGATGGATATGAACTCCTCCAAGGTGCTAGCGAGCTTCAAAAGGTTGCATCAGGCGTAAACTTGGTTTTTATTAACAACCCCCAACTTGTGAGCGAGAGACCTGCACTCTCTACACTTCTTTATCAACTCCACCAAGTTGGATTCTTCAAAGGCCCCGAGCAACTTCAACAACTCTTGGAGGAAGTGTCACCATTGAAAGGGCGTGTCAGTATTCCAAAGGTTGAAGCTCTATTGCGAATGCAGATCCCAGATGCCAAATCTGCTAGCTGGCAGTTCCCCGACCATATCGAGTCCGGGAACTTCTGGAGAGAGAGCCAGAAGATGTTGGAGGTGGCCGGATTTAAACCTGGACAGAGGGGAGTGATCATCAACGGGCGTGTCGTGGGACCTGTTCCTATTGATGAGGAGTTTGGCGCAGAAGATTTCAGGCAGCTCTTGGAGTACGAGCATTCTAGAAGGATTTTGCCTGCGCTAAGGGCTGCTAATGAGATTGGCGTTTTGGAAAAGCTCAAAGGGTTTGTTATTCATCGTGTAGTGTTGCTCACAGTACTGATAACTGACCTCTTCGAGTTTTCAATCTTCTGCGTGCCTTACCAATCTAGTTGCTCTGAGCAACATTCCCGAAGTGCCTACGAGCATGTTCCAAGGCCCATCATTGGCCAGGACAGATGCCTTCAACAGACTTTGGAAGCGAGAACATGTTGCTATCAAGTTGGGAGATAAAGACAAAGCTATCTTCCAAGTTGTGGCTTCCATTGATCCGGCAAGCGAGCTCGCTCAGAAGTGGGTGCCAATTCTGAAGGTCTTGTCGGAGATGAGGGGCGTGTATATGGATATATACCTTAATCCCCAGAGAGTAATTACGGAGCTTCCGGTTAAACGATTCTACCGTCATGTTCTCAACTCTGCCCCGACCTTTGATGAAAATGGGTATTTATTTGCTCTCCACTTTGCGCTTCGTGGGCACTTTGGCTGACTCTATTTAGTAATCTCGCGGATCCCCAAGCTCGGTTTGAAAATATTCCAGAACTTCCTTTGCTTTCTTTGAGTATGGATGTCCCTCCATCTTGGTTAGTAACGCCCAAGGAGTCGCCGTATGATTTGGACAACTTGAAGATCCAGTCCCTGAAAGATCGCTTGAAGGGAAGTGATATCGAGGCGCTCTATGAGCTTAGGAGCATTCTTATTGAGGGACATTCTACCGATATTATTAATGGGGGGGCACCAAAAGGAGCGCAATTAGTTCTTGGTACTGAGAAGGAGCCTCATTTCGCAGATACTATTGTCATGGCGAACCTGGGTTATTTCCAGTTCAAGGCAAACCCTGGATACTACAAAATGGAATTGAAGGAAGGCCGCTCTAGGGAGATCTTCCACATCGACAGTACGGGGACTAAGGGCTTCCAACTGGGCAAACGTGAGATAACCGACGAGGATTCCGAAATCTCATTGTTGAGTTTCCAAGGAGCTACTTTGTTCCCCAGATTGTCAAGAAACCCGGGAATGGAAGTCGAGGATGTCCTTGAACAGTCTACTGGTGTGCCAGGGAATATTGGTGACTTTGCTGCCAAGTTTTTGAGGAAGGTGGAAGACGTACTTGTGAATATCGGATTCCTTGCACCGGCGGTGGATTTGAAACCTCAGGCTGATATCAATATTTTCTCCGTTGCCAGCGGCCACCTTTACGAAAGATTTTTGAACATCATGATGCTTAGCGTCATGAAGCACACCGACAAATCGGTCAAATTCTGGTTTATTGAGAACTTCTTATCTCCCTCGTTTAAAGATTTTATCCCGATAATGGCTAAGGAGTACGGCTTTGAGTATGAATTGGTCACATACAAATGGCCCCATTGGCTTCGTGGCCAAAAGGAAAAGCAGCGCGAGATTTGGGGATACAAGATTTTGTTCCTTGACGTTCTCTTCCCCCTCGATCTCGACAAAGTCATCTTTGTCGACGCTGATCAGATTGTCCGAACAGACATGAAAGAGCTCGTTGACCTGGATATCCAGGGCGCGCCATACGGCTTCACGCCAATGTGTGATTCTAGAGAGGAAATCGAGGGCTTTCGCTTCTGGAAGCAGGGCTACTGGAAGAGCTTCCTGAAGGGCCTTCCGTATCATATCAGGTGAGCCTGCTTGCCTTACTTTTAATTACCTCTAACCAACTCTCGCAGCGCCCTGTACGTCGTAGATCTCAAGCGCTTTCGCCAAATTGCCGCCGGCGACCGCCTCCGCCAGCAATACCACCAACTCTCTGCCGACCCGAACAGTCTCTCAAACTTAGACCAAGACCTACCAAACCACATGCAAAGTATGCTCCCCATCTACTCCCTGCCGCAAGAGTGGCTCTGGTGCGAGACCTGGTGCAGCGACGAGAGCCTTAAGACAGCAAAAACGATTGATTTATGCAATAACCCTATGACAAAGGAGCCGAAATTGGATCGCGCTAGAAGGCAGGTCCCGGAGTGGGCAGCGTACGATGAGGAGATTGGGGCGTTAGCAAGCAGGAGTTTGAAGAAGGGAGGGGAGCAGGAGGAGAGTGAGACGGCAAGGGAGGTAGAGAAGGAGGAGGAGACGATGGAGGTGCTAGGGGAGAGGGAGGGTGAGCGGCTTGCTATCAAGGAAGAGCTTTAGGTGGGCCGGGATAAGGGGGCGGGGGATCTGTATTTGTATTTAATGGAGAGTACTTTTATCGTAGTGGTTACCGGAACAGTGAACTCGGAGTCCGTGGCCTTTTTTCCTGAGGGTGATTGTGCATGTGCTGGGTGGTCGGACATATACATGGGGTGTCACTCGGCGTGGGAAGTTGTTGCTATTGTGACACTCTTGAGCAGCGGATGGATTTATGCCTGACGCTGGGCGGGGGCAGCGCTCTAGACCTTCGGGATGCAATATCACTCAGGGGGGTCGATCACGCCTCCTCTGAGGCTTTCTCCTGAGCCGGGACCTGGGGGTGGTGCACCTCGGGAAGCATTCCTGGCTAGATATTAAATAGACTTTAGGACATCCCTCAGAGGTCCCAGCGAACCGAGTGACAAGACGTGCCTCCGGCTAGAAGCGTGGTTTGAGAACGCACAACCATATGTAGCAGGGCCAACAGTGCTGCACTCCCGAAGGGTCAGGCTTGGGCGTGGCAAGGCCTCCGGGGAGGATGTTACAGATGGCAGAGCCTACTACTCGAGCTGAACAAAGAAATCTCAAACACTCGAGGATATTGGCATGAATTTCTTTGAAGATATGTAGGAGCTTGTTCCTACTGTTCCTTTGAGTTTGGGTTCTTAGTTGTGCCCGTGGTGGGTCTGTTGATGTGAAGGGGTCCCGGATGGATCGGTTCTTGAAACATGATCTATTCACTTGCTGGGACTGACTCGTTTTGAGCGGTTGGCGGAGGTAAACCCGCTGCGAAGGCTGTTCCTGGTCCCTTCCATGGTATGTTCCCGAAGACGTAGTTTCTGTGGGCTGGTAAGGGGAAGGTTATTGATTAAGATATTGCCAATCTGACTACCGCAGTATCTTTCTATATATGTCTTTGAACTCTCAGCTGTTCTCCCTGAATCGGACTGTTGCGTTGCTTGCATATAGCACATCTCGGTAAGTACCGGCTGGGTAAGCTAACTATTCCTCCTCCCCATGGGCAGGAGCCCGAATTGCAGTACTCAAATTGCAGTCCCTGAAGGCGGGAGCCTGAGCTGTAGTCCAATGTCTAACTCGCACGCACAAATACAGAGAAATTTAGTTGACAGCTGGGTATAAATACAGAGTGTTTCTTGCTTCTTTCTTTACTTATTCTCTTCTTTTAACTTCAACTATCAACATAATTTTTTTTTTTACAATCCTTCAATCATCTCTATGGTACCTGTCAACCACTTCTCTATCACCTCTTTGCTATTCCTCTCCCAACCAACATAAGGAGAGTACTCAAGACTGTTTCCGATTGTTGTATGGAAAATTTACTGCTGTGATTATTTCTTTCAACTTAAAGTTTCAAAGTTGTAAAGACAGATTTTTGACTATGTGTAGTTGAGAGTTATGATACAATGTTGATTTGAAGTAAATATAAACACTTTTAAACTTTTTATATTTACTATTATTATTATTATAGGTTTTTCTCTTAGTACTATGATACAAAGGCTAAATATTAAAGTAGATATTAAGGATTATGGTATCATAATCGCCCATGCGGCATTTGTATTTTCTCTAGAGTGGTTTTATAATAAAGCTTGCTTCTGATATCCCGTTTTGTGGGATCGGGAACCACTATTCTGGTGCAATGAAATTGCTGGATGAAAAATCGGGAGTGCGTGGTATGTGGGCGTTTGTGGAGCGGTACAGCGCGAGTCCATATATAGGCTTGTCTGGTCCGGGGTGGTGGCGGTCGTGGTCGACGGGCGGATAATGCCTTGTTTCCGTGAGTCTGGGAGCACGCTGTGGGGTCGTGGGCGCTATCTCCTCTACAGCTTGTATCATAGCCCCTGATTCGAGAACCTAGGTTTGTTGGGGGGGTATATGATACGTGAGAAGGGGTTACAGTACGGATTACAGAGCGTTCGCGTAGTCTAGTATTGTTAGCTCTTTAACACTTGATTGAGAACTACTACGTTGCTGAGAGTTCGCCCAGCAATTTCCATGGCACTGGCGCCACTGTATAAGGTTCCAGAAATATCGAGACGAGATATATGATATCATACCTAAATTGTTATTAGTGTTATTCATAATTTGTCACTCGGGAGCATTTTTCTCGGCGTGCGGTTCACCAGCTTTGGCTTCAACCCACCGACAAGCGAGTATCGCCTCGCATTTCACGCCCCATTGATTCCGGAGGCCTTTGCAGGGTTCGGATATCTGGGGGCTCTGCGTTCACCCACCGTAAGTATTTGTGAGAGAATACGAGGAAAATTTTGCGTTCATGCGTATGATACATATTACAGCTCCAGTACTCAGCCAGAAATTGTACCGGGACCTCTTTGTGGCTTACTTGCGACCACCCAGTCTGCCCCCAAAATGAAGTTTCTCAAAGTTTCCATTTTGCCGCCGCAAGATAAAGGATGCAGGAGAGATTCACATCCCCCAGTTCAACTATCTAAAACCCCCGGATCCAACCAAGCGGCAATGTAATAAAAACAAGCTTTTGCGGTAAAATAAATGTCGTTATCTGTATGGAGCATCCGCCCTGATAACTGCTGCAAGTTCGGGCTCCCACCTTTTTATATGTTAGAATAAACGCTTAAGATGCATGCAGAAGAGGGACGAACTTGTCTCCGTTTGAGAGAAGCTTTTCCTTGTTGTAGAGTAATTCCTCTCGTGTCTCGGTAGCGTATTCCGCATTGGGGGCTAAATGCCATCAGCGTTGTCATTTCATGAAACGGGGAAGGTTTGAGATGTACATTCTACGATAGCGTCCACCGGGCAGGATTCTAGAAATGTCAGCCGCCACCACGAGCACCATTTAGACACCTCGGCAAGAATATACCCTGACAGAACCCACAGTAGATACACTTTGTCATATCGATATCGTATCTAGTAGTCCTCCTACTCCCATCCTCTCGCTCCTCCGCTTCGATCGTGATCGCCAATGCGGGGCATATGGCCTCGCAAAGCTTACAGGCAATGCAGCGCTCCTCACCGGATGGATATCTCCGCAATGCGTGCTCGCCGCGGAAGCGTGGGGATATAGGTCCCTGAAACAAATTAATTGGCCGCCCTATCAACCCCAACCCCGCGCCGAGCAACACGTATGGCGTAAACATACCTTTTCGAACGGATACATGATAGTATACCTATCTCCCCATCAGCCTCTCCCTGTTTCCTCCCTCCAGGTATAAAATGGGAACATACGGAGCCCTAAAGAACTGTTCCAACACTACATACATCCCCCGCAACATTTCCGTCATGAGGAATATGCGTCCAGCTTTGTCGAGTGCTGACTCCCCCTCCTCCCAATTTGGCGTGCGGTTGGTACGAAGTCCCGATGGCAGAGGCCCTCTTGGAGTAGCATATCTCGCAATGTGGGAAGTGGAAAAGTGGTGGGTAGCTAGTATCGAAGAGGCGGGGAGAAGGAGTGTATGCGATTTTGATGATGCTAGGAGCGTGCGAGTGGGGCGGGCCGATATAAGTCCCAGGGAGCGGAGTGATGCCATGGTTGGGAAACGTAGTGAGTGTAGGGTCTTATGATGGAAGCAATTGCCTCGAGGGGGGAGGGATATTGACGATGATGGCGGATCTGTGGTGTAGGGGACGTTGGGGGTGGGGGTAGGGGTGTGGGTGGGATTTTGCTGAATGCGATTTTAGTTTTGGTGGCGGATGGATAGTACGTAGAAGCTTGACACTCTTCGGCAGGAAAATAGGCGCTTTCTGATTGGTTGGGAACGCGGAGTGCGCCGCTACCTTGATAGAGGAAACCGGTACTGGTGGGATATATCCAAGGTATTGTCGTAGGGGTTTCGGTTCGTGATTTTTTTTTTTTTTCATTTTGAAAAATTTCAGTCGGTAATTCATCTAGAATCCGTTTTATTATGACCTCCATAGAATAAGTAGGGACTATCCCCTCCCATGGGTGGAGCGAGAGAGAGGCGGTTATGTGGTTTGGCTTTGTTTTGCCGTTGCAACAGAACTTGCAGGCATCGTGAAAACCGTCACCAACCTTCTTCCGTCTCTCATCTCTCCCCATCAATCCTTTTCTCCCCCCAGCAACCAATCACCCCTCCAACAATCCGTCCCCCAGTGTACTCACCGTCACCATGTTTAGATTAATCTCCGTTCGTGCCTGTAGGGCACTCTCCACTGTTGCTGCTACTGCTCGTGTTTCCGCTCCCATTGTCGCTCGGCCAATTCTGGGACCGCGGTTTGTTCGTCCATCTATGGTTGACAGGGCCGTCGTCGGTGCGCGATACTACTCCGCCCCCGCCTCTTTGTCGAAGCAAGAAATCGAGTCTAGAATTATAGACTTATTGAAGGGTTTTGATAAGGTTTCTTCATTGTCTCTGCCTTTAAAATGTGCAATCTAATACTGATCGCCGGGTATCCTAGGTCACCGATCAGACCAAGGTATGTCTCACTTTATGGAAGGGGAGAGAAGGAAATCTTCAATTGATATGCGGTATAGCTTTCTGGCACTTCAAACTTTGCCAATGATTTGGGATTAGACAGTCTCGATACTGTCGAGGTCGTAATGGCTATTGAGGAGGTTTGTTCTAACATCGCTGTCCTTGGATAGCCACTGATAATATCGCAGGAATTCAGTATTGAGATTCCCGATAAGGCTGCAGATGCAATCCTGAGTGGTAAGTAGATGATGATTTGGGAACGAGAACTTATATGGTACTGACTCCAATAGTTGACCAGGCCGTGGACTACATCCTCGCTCAGCCTGACGGTTTGTGGACCCGCCCTTTTCTCTCCTAATCCGAGTCATCACTGATGGTAATATCATAGCTCACTAAAATACATGCAATGGCTCGTTTTGGCGGTAGAAAAAAACAGTCTCATCGATTCTTTCATGTTCCATCTTCTCTGTATATGCCTCGTTGCGCGGGATAGTGGGTGCTGTTGGGTGTTTAGAGGAAATGCGATTTCCAGCGTTCAATTAAGAAAACTCCCCTTGTTCAGGTGCAGCCCATTGGCCATTGCCAATTCAGACGAACATTGTCGCCAAAACATTTCTCGACCTCTACCCCGACCATTGTTCCTCCGGGATACCGGCACGGCTTGAGTTCAGTACTCGAGCACCTTTCCTTGAGATATGTTGTCTTGGAACGCGGGTTAAAGTGTCATGCGACCGTGTAGCCCTAATCATGAATAGCGATGCACTTATCACTGGCCCGACTCCAGAGTTCCTGATATATGGATACAGCGGTTCTCGACCCCGAGGGGGAGTATTTGTGTTCGTCTATGGATGCCGTGCTTGGATGATTGGTCGATAGATATCGTGTTATATTTATCGGAAAACTGACTAAAGAGTGCCGGATTCACAGCCATATACGGTTCAAGAGAAACAAGTTGAATAGAATAAAGACTGTGGGGATTTTGGAAGTCACAGCAAGATTGGAAAGGGGAGGAGATTGTTGGTAGTCATCACTCCCCTGCAGGCAATAGCAAGCCCCCCGAAGCAAAACATATATCAGAAGGGAAAAAAGTTGCAAGAAGACCATAAAATATTCGCTCATAGGTTACTTATGGTCCCATCAACTTGTTCTGCGCGGTATCATACTATCTGGGACAAAATAGGGATATAAAAGACATATTATAGACTCGATAGTGGAAGTTCCCAATTTCGTCTTGAGATGGGAGAGGGGTGCATAATTAATTTTTTTTTACCCATTGTGGGCTCTGGGGCCAGCCGCGCAACCAGAAGGAATAATAACCCTTGCCTTGTGGAAGCCCGCTAAGCCTTACCGGTGCTCTTGCCGCCAGTGCTGTACTCGTATGATACTCGAGTAGTCTATTCACGCAGCAGGCGTCGATACCTTCTTCCTCTCATGTCATGATCATCCTCCACCCGTGACGCCTCAAATACGAGTAATACTGCTCATTGAACTCGCAACCCTAACTCTCCTCCAACAACCCCCCTCCTCTCGTCCATGGTATCGTGCTACAGTAGTTGCACCCAGTCCTACAAGCACTTGACACAGCCAACCCGCGTCCCGTCATACCGCCGATAAACCCTTCCAGTATCATACCTCCTAAATCATCTCACTGTCGTCGCGTACCGCTTCTACCTCTCATCACTCGACAAACTACCGCAAACCTTCAGCAGCGTGAGGTGCCCCGTAGCACGGGTACAGCCGAGTTAATCGATCGAAAAAGCTATCATACAATCTACATATTATGGCGTCGAATACCGGTTTGACACGGAGGAGAGGTGGTGGTGGAGGTGGAGGCTCGGCTGGAGACGAAGTTGATCGCAGCAGTTCACCATCTACTTCTAGACCAGCGGAACCCCGAAGCGGGGAGACATCATTCACTACTGCTGAGAATGGACATAAGATTGGTGAGCTTTGTCCTTTTTTCTTCTTTCTCCCCAGCAAGACAGGCTCGGGGGTTGGGCTGACGAGGTCTTTTGCGGGAGGTAGCTTTTGATCCCAGAGACATCAGTGAGAATCAGGAGAGGAGTAAACAACCAAAGCTTACTCTAATGGAGGAGATATTGCTTCTAGGTTTGAAGGACAAGCAGGTACGCTTTATTGTCTCTTTTACGTGCCTTGGTTTTGGATTCCCCGAGATTTTTCTCCTCTTCTTTCCAGGTTTCTAACTTTGTGGGGCTTATACAGGGATACCTTTCTTTCTGGAACGACAACATATCTTATGCACTCCGTGGTTGCATCGTTTTGGAGCTTGCCTTTAGAGGCCGTGTTAGCATGCAGAAGGATTCTAACAGAAGGAGATTCCCGTTATCGGATAGGATAATCGAGGTGATTGATGATACTCTCACCGGAGAAGTGTTGCTTGACGAGGCTCTGAAAATGATGAAAGCAAGCGAAAAGATGAGCGTGAGCTCCTGGATCGACCTTATGAGTGGTAGGATTTCTAGTTTTATCACTGGGTTTTCTGGAGCGGTCGAGCTAATGTGTTTGTATGGTAGGCGAGACCTGGAACCTGATGAAAATAGGATACCAGTTGAAGCAGGTCCGCGAGCGCCTAGCCAAGGGTCTAGTAGATAAGGGAATCTTGCGCACAGAGAAGCGTAACTTTCTACTTTTTGATATGGCTACCCATCCGGTTGCAGATGGCGGAGCGAAGGATGAGATAAGACGCCGTGTCCGAAATGTTCTTACTTCTCGCACAGTTGTCTTGCCCGGAAATCCGTTCTTGCCAGAAGACTTGGAGTTCCGTTATCTACGGACAGTGGCCATGGTCTGTGCTGCGTATGCGGCAAACGTACTAGAGAACGCTTTGGCTACTCTTGGTCACGAAGCTAGGGAGAGGGCCTTTGCTCACGTAGACGAGCTATTGGCCGAGTTTTCACAATGGCCATTCGCCAAGAGAAACACTGCTGGTGGGGTTGGACAAAACTTGGGGACTGCCACTACGGAGGAATTGAATAAGAATAAAGATCGGGAGCTCCAGATAGAGGTATGATTTATCGGTGATGGTTGATCTTATTTTTTTGACTTATTTTTTTTTAGGTCGTCGCTGCTGTACTGAGCGTCTTTACAAGACTCGATTCACTACTCTGATGCAAAATCTTCTAAATTCATTCACCGAAAACTCCTTTTGAGTTCTGGTGTGATGGGCTATCTTGGCTATTTTCGCGGTCCTGATTTCCATCGCTCATTGCTTCTCCCGGCCTGTTTAATTCGGTGGGTGTAAAAAATGAGGGACGAAAAAATCTTTAGTGGGATGTTCGTCTTCCGCATTTTACGCAAAATGAAAAACCGAGGTTTATTGCTTTCCCTGTCCAGTTCTCTCTCTTGTTCTAGCTGTTGGTGCACGTTACTGTTCCTCCTATTTACTGTTTTTTCTCTCTGTGCTCGACTTTTCACCGTGGTTGCCTGGATGGAACGTTGCACTTCGCCCTTCCTCTCTCAGTCCCCTAAAAGTGTAAGGAGTCTCATATACATACCCTAATACCAAGAGTGAAAACGACCAGGTAAGGCGCCAATAGTCTGTTATCTAGAAAAAGGACAAAGACGGTAAGGAGGAAATTGTAATCAATCATGACCCACTGCTCGCTCTCTGTCTCTGAGGCGTAGTTCTTTCGCTCTTACCAAATATGGGGGTCTCGGCTCTCGATCGTGACTCCTGCATCCACCGCTTCTCCCGCTCCTGCACTAGTTGCTTGAAGTACTGTTCCGCCTGTTTCGTGTATGAGTACTCTTCTGGTATGAACCCCTGCCGATTCGGTTTATCAAAGGTGGCCCCACTCTCAAACAACGTCCGGATAACCTTTAAGTGGCCATATGCCGAGGCGTACTGTTCCCAATTAGCTCCCTTCTTCGACCCCCCCCACTGCCCCCTAGCACAAGTAAACCTACGTGCAAGCCTGTATTACCCAGCCCATCAACAGCATCAATATCCGAGCCTCCATCTAACAAAATCCTAACAATCCCGTCCTTGCCCGCCCTAGCCGCGAGTATCAGGGCCGTAGCGCCAGCTTTGTTTCTATAATCCAGTCTACCAAACATCTCCACGAGCACGCTGACAACTTCCTCATGCCCGCCCTCCGCCGCCAACATCAGGGGTGTATCCCCATTCGTGTTCCGCGATATCCCGCTATCCTCATGGGACGTGTAGGTTATGAGGTATTGGACGATGGGCAAGTGGCCGGATTGTGCCGCCAGGTGCAAAGAGGAGTTTGCCAAGGCGTCGGGATTCGGGAGGTATTTTGGATGGTTTTTCAGAAGTCGGGTCAATTGTAGGAGGTCATTGTGAAGGATCGAACGGCGGAGGCGGATGGAAACATCTAGCCTGGGAGGGGGGAGGAAAGAAGTCAGCTTAGTTAGTGCGCCCGAGTGGAAAGGGAATTATGTTCTGGTAGTACATTATTTATTTGTTTGTTTAATTATTTATTTATTGACTATTCCAAGCTTTATCTTTTGCGATTGGTGGTTGGAATAACGGTGCGAACGGGGGTGGGGGGAAGGTAAGATGATCCGAGGTGAAGGTAGTCTGAGCTTGAGGATTGCAATACTGATGGAGGTTGAATCGCCGTAGGATGCGACAAAATTTGGTAGCGGAGAGGTGAGAACAGGGTATCATATCTTGGAAGCAGCCAAGCGTTGAGCAGCATGGAAACAGGGGTGGGCAGAGGAGACACCAACCCTTTGACAGCTATGCTGGTTTCACGTGGGGAACGTCATGCCAACATTTCAATCTGGGGGAGCTTCGGGGAAACCATATCTATCTACACACAATAACCTGCGATATTTCTTGCAGAATTTCGCCTGACTAATACCAGCCGCGGCAAATGCCTCGCACTTCTCAACGAGGCCGGCGCAACCCGTTTCCAACTCCAATCAATGGTGATAGCAACCTCGAGTGACATCTTGTGACCCCCTCTCCACAAACCAATCATCCACCCCGGACCTAATCCGTGCCCACTATTCGCTCTGCCAAACCAACGCAACCAAAAAGTCCAAATCATCACTCCCACTGTACCCGTAACGAGACCAGCGAGCCGACACCAACCCCATTCGCCACGAACACGCCATGTAGATCCCAGCCGAAACATCATGTTAGCGCACCCTGTATCTTCCCCAGGTTTGGGAGGGTGTACCTGCATAAATTGGTGTTTCGCAAAGGAACGAGCTCTTTCGGGAAGATATAATAAAGGTGCAAAGAGAAAGAAGGGGGTAACGTGGCGAGCTGGGTGGGGGCATCCTGCGGAAACGGGGGCTTGTTTGGGGGCAGGTGTAGATGTGTGTTCATGGTGGGTTGGTTGGACGGAGGGGAGAGAGGATGGAATTGGAGGAAGTGCATTACAGGGGGTAAGACGGGAGATGTTTGTGATGTTTAGTTCGGAGGAGGAATTGAGTAGGAGGATGAAGGAGAACATGGAAGAAGGGAGGGGATGGACAGTTGAGTCTGAGCCAACTTGAGTCGAACAACACACGGCGAGGGAATATGGAAGAGAGTAGTATAGTATATGGATCAGGTTACCTACACGGAAGGTAAAGTCTATCTACTTGCCCTGGATTTCCCTTATCAAGATTAACCAAGGTAATAAGATAGAGCGAGAGAGGGAGAGAATTGAGCCCGGGCAGGTGAGAAAGAGGGAATTAAAGAGAGATAGTTTATATCTCCCTCAATTGCTACGATGAATCCGAATCCGAATTCGAACCCACTTCCGAACGGCAGGTCCATTCCGAACCCGGCAGGCTACCAGGTATCCGAAAGCGAGTACAGCGAGCGCGACCATCACCCCCTCCCCGCCCCCCCACCACGGCATTTCCGAGAATGGGATCGAAGAGTGCACATAGCGTCGAGCCACTACTCCGTGACCTCCGGCTTCACAAAGGTCTCCCTGGAAAATTCCTGCTGGGAAGACGTGACGCCGGAGGACCTGAAGGACCTTGAGAAGCGAAAGGCGGCGTCAGTCGCGGCGGCATCGGCGAACGGAAATACGAGGCGGTGGTCGCTCAATTCCATATCTAGAATGTTCAGCAGGACTCCCAGGATGGAGTCCACGGTTAGCGTTAATATAGCTAGGGGCCTTACACCGGGAACGCTGGCGGAGTGCGTGGATAGCTCCGGGGTGGCATTGTACGAGGCTGTTTTCTCCATCGGCGGCATGACGTGCGCTTCTTGCTCGAATCGCATCACCGAGGCCGTCGAGAGCCTGAAGTGGGTGCAAAGCGTGCGGGTGGATTTGCTGAGTAATAGCGCGACGGTGTTGTTCGATGGGATGGGGTGCGGGGGGCCAGAAGTTGGCGCTGAGGCGATACTACAACAGGTGGAAGATACTGGATTTGACTGCACACTCGAAGAGCTCGACGTAGCAGGGTCTAGGAAACGAAAATCCGAGCGGGGGACCGTCGGCGCCGAGCGAATAGTTTCATTGAAAGTGGACGGAATGTCGTGCACCGGCTGCGCGGACAAAGTCGTTGAGGTCATTGGGTTCTCGTTCCCTGATAATGTGCTAGAGATAGAGTCACCACCCATCACTCTCACATCGCCTGTCATACACGTTCGGTATAAACCACAACCCCCGGAATTCACTGTGCGACACATCGCATCCGTAATATCCTCAATCTCTCCGGACTTTGTAGTATCGGTGTACCGCCCGCCCACCATCGAAGACCGCTCGCGCCAGCTCCAGCAGATGGAGCAATGGCGACTGCTCCTGCGCTTACTCTTCTGTTTGGCAATCGCGATACCAACGTTCCTGATCGGGATCGTCTGGATGACATTCGTGCCTGAAAGCGACCCAGTACGGCAATCCCTCAGTCAACCAATGTGGACGGGCCGTTCTACGAAAATGGAATGGGCCCTCTTCTTCCTAGCTACCCCTGTCATGTTCTTCATCGCCGATGTATTTCACAAACGAGCAATTAGGGATATCAGAGCACTCTGGAGAAAGGGGAGCCCTACACCGGTATTGCGTAGGTTCTACAGGTTCGGGAGTATGAACTTGTTGATCTCCCTCGGGGTTTCAATATCATATTTTGCCAGCTTGGTGTTATTGGTGATTAATGCTGCAAGTAAGCCTGCTGTGCAGGCGAGGCACGGACTCCAAAAGAGGAGGACGAGCACCTATACATATTTCGATTCTACGGTGTTTTTAACGATGTTTTTGTTGATAGGTACGTTCTTTAGCCAACCCTATTGCTCCCAGAGTAACAGCTGATGACGGTGACTACAGGCCGCTTCCTAGAAGCATACAGTAAGCGCAAGACCGCCGAAGCCGTCAACATCCTTGGAAAACTTCGCCCCGCAGAAGCCCTTCTAGTGGTCCACACCAGCCAAACAACTAGAGGCGTCGACTTCTCAACTTTCAAGGCCGGAAAGACCCTCGAGCCCGTTGACCAGAACGATCCTAGTAATCACACATACGAGGACAATCGCCTCTGGAGAATCAAAGCGGTACCAACAGACCAGCTTGAAGTCGGCGATATTGTAAGCGTGGTCCGCGGCTCCTCGCCACCCGCTGATGGCACAATCATTTCTGGAGTCTCGCAATTCGACGAGAGACCTCTGACCGGTGAGGCCAGACTTGTGCCAAAGATTGAAGGAGATGTGCTCCTTTCTGGGGCCGTAAACCAAGGCCAGGCAGTCAACATGCGAGTGGAGAGCATTGGCAGCGACACGATGCTGTCGCGGATCGTCAATGTGCTTCGCGAGGGACAAACTCGGCGTGCACCGATTGAGCGACTGGCAGACTTGATTACTGGCTACTTCGTCCCGGTAGTGACGCTTTTGGCTTTCCTCACTTGGATAATCTGGCTATCGCTCGGCGTTACCGGCAGGTTGCCGGAAGAGTACCTGGACATCCGATACGGTGGATGGTCCGCTTGGTCCCTCAGCTTTGCCATTGCGGTCTTCGTGATCGCATGCCCGTGCGGTATCGGTCTTGCGGCGCCAACCGCGCTATATGTAGGTTCAGGGCTGGCAGCCAAGTTCGGTATCTTAGCAAAAGGTGGCGGAGAAGCGTTCCAGGAGGCCGCATGGCTGGACTGCATTGTATTCAGTAAAACCGGCACACTCACGCAAGGCAATGACCCAAAAGTGACGGACGAATTAATGCTCGTTGGCGCTGGCGAAGACCGAAGAATGGCTTATGCGGTCGCCCAGCAACTCGAAGAGAGCTCTTCACACCCACTGTCAAGGGCTATCATTGCGCACTGCGAGAGGAAGGACAAGGTCCCCATCACGATGTGGGACATCGAGGACATTCCGGGCCGAGGCCTCTGCGGGGTTTTCAAGATCGCGAACAATAAGACGGACGTATTCGAGGCGGTCCTCGGGAGTGAGCGCTTTATGGAAGAGAATGGAGTTCTGGACATGGCGTATCACGATCAGGTACTATCTTCTTGGAAGTCCTGTGGGAAGAGTGTTATACTTCTCGCCATTAGAAAACAGGCGGTCAGTGGTAAGGTCTATGATAGCCGCTTTAGACTTGTTGCGCTGTATGCTGCAGCCGACATCATTCGTTCCGAGGCACCTGAGGTAGTTAGAAAGTTGCAGGAGTCTGGGATAGGTGTGTGGATGATTTCTGGGGATAATACTACCACGGCGATATCTGTTGCTTCGATGGTTGGGATTCCGCGGGAACATGTTATTTCAGGCGTTCATCCGGCAGAAAAGGTACTGTCGCTTTTCCACCCCTCGCTAGTCCTTACTAACCCAGACATCTAGGCAGAGAAAATAACCTGGCTGCAAGCCACCGCTCCCCGCCGTACCCGCCCACCTTTCTTCCCCTCCCTTCCCAGAGTCCCCTTCCTCCGTTACCTGCCTTGCCTTCCGTCAATCCCGTTTTTTCAGTCATCCTCCCCAACTCGCTCCTCTCCCACAGCCGCTAAATCTCGAGCCACTATTGCACTAGTCGGCGACGGCATAAACGATGCTCCAGCACTCTCAATCTCATCCGTTGGTATATCGATGAATAGTGCGACAGACGTGAACATTACGTCCGCCAAGTTCATCCTCGTATCTTCGAATTTGAATAGTCTGATCACGCTCACGCAGCTGGCTAGCTTTGTCTTTCGCAGGGTTAAGGTGAATTTTATGTGGGCTTGTGTGTACAATGTTCTAGCTGTGCCGGTGGCTGCGGGGGCGCTGTATGCTGGTGCGGGCATAAGGGTGGGGCCGGTGTGGGCCGCGGGTATTATGGCCTTTAGGTGAGTTGTTTTCTGTTCGATTGGTAGCGCGGTGGCTGTTGATGGCTGACTTTGGTATCCTAGTTCTTTGAGTGTGGTATGCAGTTCGTTGTTGATGAAGACAGAGTGGTGGGGTGTCGGATTTCGAAGGGGGTAAGTGCTGTAGATATTACGTGTTTCCAGTGGGGAGGGGAAGGAGGGGGTATTAGCTGGGGTAATGGCGATTCATTACATGACTTATGACTTATGACTATGATTATGATGGCGGATTTTGTAAGCGTATAGTACAAGGAGGAGCTGGGCTGAGGGTGTATAGAGTTGAAATCATTATTTGCGATTGGCTTAGGTGTTTCTGTGTGGGTTCTAAATGTTTAACGGTTTAGCTAAATATTTTCTCGATAAACAAAATGAGTACGGCCAAACACTACTCTGTTGTGCTGCTTGGAGTGGGCACGAGGGGGCAATAGAGTGCTACTCGAGACATGGAATGAGAGTAAGCCAGCCCAGAGTGAAAGGAAACGATACGAGAAGGAAAGGAAGAACACGGAGGATTTCAGTGGGAGCGTTTCCCCAAATATATGCAGACATCGTTGGGGGCCTCTTGATGGGGGGGGGAAGCGGGGTGAAGAACTCCTTGGTGGGCCAACGAACTATGTATGCATAGAAGTGTCTAGGAAAACAAAAGAACGGATGAAAGACGATGCAAAAGAAGGAGCCGGGGGGACCTAAAACCATGAAATTGGGCGTGAATATCAGATGTATTTATTTAGGGAGTCCAGTGGGGCTACAGAAGCCCCCGACGGATAACTGAGGTTTTCATAAAGTGGATGGATTAGCGCGTGAATTAGGGGCGAGTGACGTTCTATGATTCAGACAGACGACAAGGACCATGTCAAATGCCAGGTACATTACCCGCTAGCGTAGCTTTATGCAAAAAAAGAGTCTACGAGTGGTAAAAGCGAAGGGGAGGCGGTTAGCTCTTGGTGCCTTCGGCGCACTCTTTTCTTTCACGGGAAAGTCCGCTCCTGATTGAGTTTTGGTCGAATAAAATAAAATTTAATAATATATCATACGGTATTATGCGGTATTGTACAAAATCGCATAAATTCGATCTCACACCCCAGTCCGACTGGACGATTGTGCGCAATGACTTTCGCTTGCCCTCGGCCGTTAGAAATACTCGGGGGATACTACAATTACCAAGTCTAAATAACATCCTGTATATCTGCTTTAACATCTATACAGTAATGAGCCCTATGATATACTCGAGTAACTTTCCTCTAGCTATTTCTCCCAGTCGTCGTGGGCGGTGAAAGTCTTGTTCTACCACCGGACATCCTGAGACTATTCTACCCTCTACGAATGATAAGACCGAATTCCCAATCCTTTGATAGATGCCACTTAGCTAGAGGAGCGGCGGCTCCAGCAGTGCCGACATGCTGGTGAGCAGTCAAGCCATTTCCTGGTGGTATGACCTCAGACCTGGCCCGGACCTTAGAAATGCGTAGGCTCTTGTGGTGAAGTTTGATAATTAGCTGTAAAAAACTGTGTTAGTGGGTAAGGTAAAAAAAACCAGGAATTTTCTTGTACCGTATTTTCAAGACCTCGCTATCCCATGGACGGATGAGACGTGCAGATTCTCCGCCTTCCTACTAGTAGTTAGGCTAATGCTGATAAAAGAAACATCTAGTACGAGTAGTAAGCCATTCTTATAACCTTGCCTATCCGATAACAGGTATTTGTAGTTTTAATTATAATAAACCAACGGTAACGTAGATTATCACTTTGCGGGCCACATCACTTTGCGGGCCACTTTTCTAGACCCTCCGACTTCTAACCCATGTAACCCGACAAAAAAAAACTCAATTAGACTCTACCAAGTTGGAATCTGATAAACTATCTACATCTGAAGCCTCTGGACTGGTTCTTATATTGTGGCCGGATTTGCGGCAAATGCCACAGAGCCTCGCACCAGTCTTGCGCCTCTTTGATGACCCCTCCCCCCCAACTTCATCGCGTTCTTCCTGGTCAACTACACCTTTTTCCACCAAAAGCTGGCTGGCTTTCTCACCGGTAAGGGGTCCCGAATCCTGCAGTCAGGTCCTTTTAGCCCTCCGGCGCTTTGAGAGGGCCTCATTGGCATTATGAAGTGCCGTGACCTCACCGGTTAGAAGTGTTAGCTGGTGGTCAATAGCCACTGTAGCCTTCGCCAATTGATTGACAGAGGCTAAAATTGGCATTGGGGAACTTGCTTGGTGTCTGACCACCTGATCCTTGATCAGAGTTGACTGCGAAATGGCCTCGGAAGTGGTCTGGAGTGTCTGAGAGACCCAAGGTTGAGGCAAGCCGTCAGAGGTCCCAGGGGGTGTTGGGGTCCGTAACTTTATATCTAGCTTCGAAATCACCGCTTCCGGGTCAAAAGGGACTAGGCCAGCCCCTCGGAAGCCACCCTTGATATTTTGTTTGGTAAAAGTGGCTTTGAAGGCAGCCCGGAACGCGGGGAAGAAGTCGTCCTTGGTAATGTGCGTAATGTTGGCCCGTGCAAGGAACGAGATCTGGGCGCCGTAGGCCTTCTTCAATGGGCTGAAAACACCGACGTTGAGCGGCTGGGTCAAGTGTGAGGAATGTGCCGGCAGACAGAATGGTACAATGTCATTTTCTTTGCAGTATTCGTTGAATTCGGCGTTGATGTGGCTCCCATAGCCGTTCAGCACAAGCATCCGGTATTGACCCTTTGATGGGCTCTCGTATGCTGATCAAAGTGCTGAAGCCATTCGAGACCCGTATTGTGGTCAGTCCAGCCGTTGGGAGTCGTTTTGACAACTCAGTAAGGGGGGATCTTGCCGTCGACATACCAGGCAGTGAGGTGAAATCAGCCTGCAACGCAGAGGAAAGGTGACACCACGTGGCCATCTGCTGCAATGCTGCAAATTGCCGTCGCCCATTCTCGATTGCCTAGCTAGATGGCCTTTGGTTTGCCAACCCAATCAGAGCGTGTAACTACCATCCTGGGCCGAATCGTGCCCATCATAAAGCCTGTCTCGTCAAAGTTGTAGAAGTCGCAGTCTTGGATGCCGTACTTTGCATGCATATTAGCAGCCAGATGGAACCATGTATTTAATGTGCTAGGATCTTCTTGCAAGGCTCTCTGGTAGTCGTAGGTGCGAGAAAAACATGTACATAGCTCTAGTCGTCACTTGATAAAGCGGTCAGTCCAGCACTTCCCGACATATCGTACGCCACGCTTAGCCATCAGTAGATTGGCCATATCTTCCATATCAGCCCTCCCGGGTGAAAACCCTCTCAAATCCAGCTGAGATATATATTGAACAATCGCTTCCTCTTCGCTACTGGTTAAGGTCGGTGAGCCGCTGGCTTTGTTGGCCTTAGGAGTTCTTCCAGTCATTCTGTACTGTAGCGTTGTGCGTGGGACATCGAACTGCTTTGCGAGCTTTCGAATACTCAATTGTGGTGTTGTTCGCTTCGCCTCGATCGCGAGGGGGATTCAGGCCTCAGGGGTATGGACTTGCATTATTAGTACGCGAGCAAATGTATCTTGAAGTTGGAGTAGTGATGGCGGCGAAAAGTGGCCTGCGAAGTGATAATATACGTTAAAAGTCTTTAATGCTACAACCTGAGTACGAATATATCTACAATACCACAACACCCAAAACTAGTTTAGTTCAGCTATCAGCTTATGTTTGTTTTCCCTCACACTTGACCAGCTATAACTCCAGACCATGAAAATACAGGGAAACTGTAATGTGTTTGCAAGGTGCTAATCACGTTATCGGTAAATGGTACAATAGTTGGCTGGTGGCCTGCTCTACCAGAGAGTAGGCTAGAGCTGAGAAATAAAGGAGGCTTTGAGGGTGTACTGGGAAACAAAGAGGTAACCGTTCAACCAAGTATATTGAAATACTGTCTGTCGAAGTCGGCCCTTTCTATCGTGGAAACAGGCGGTTTTTAAATACACAAATCTGTTCATGTCTAGCATGAATGAAACTAATCAAAGGTATCAAGTGATACACTTCAGTAAAACAAATCAAGTATCAAAATGATACTTAAAACAAAACATAATACATAACTAAATATTCAACGATACTTAAAACAAACCAAGTATCAAAGCGATACTTAAAATAAAACATAAAACAAAACTAAGTATCAAATGATACTTAAAACAAACCAAGTATTAAAGCGATACTTAAAACAAAATATAAAATAAAACCAATAACTGAGTACCCGTACCAGTTACAGAAACTAACCAGTAATTGTAGGTGCATAGAAAGTCGATTATTATAAAGCCAGTAGATGACCTATAAGAAAAGGAAAAGAAAAAACAACCAAGAACTAGATCAATTGTGAGGCCTTTTACAGGCTCGAGCATTATAGACTTCCTGACTACAGGTAGAACAGTGGTATAGAGCACAATTGGAAACAAGAGGGAGACCACTGGTGACATGTTGAATGTGAGTATAATTTCTAACATCCCTGGGCTGGGACCATTTATTTTTTGTTTTTGGTCGACTACCGTACTCCAGTGAGTTAGGGAAGTGTTAGGCAGAGACAATTTAATAGACTTCAAGGTTGTCTAGGCCAATTGAGATTCGTTTCTGTAGACGGAGATAGTCTAGGAAGGCTTGGACTTTACTCGTTTTGTTTATAACTACTAGGAGCGAAGTAAAATAGGTAAAGTAGGATAAAATCGTAAAAAAAATATTATATTATTAAGGTCTCTTCTCCGTTGCTTGATGATGTCTAAAGCTTGGGAGGCACTTCGATATTTATATTCTGCGTCTGAGTATTTGCGGACTACATCTATTTATCATACAACTATGTACTTCTTCAATCGTAATTTGCAACGTCAAGTTTTCTTCCAAGGTGCGAACCCCTGTGGACCCTGAAAACCATCACACCCTCTTCGGTAATTATGATATTTCTTCTTAGAAAACGTACTGTCCCCAATAGTAATATCCCAATTAGCAGGGTCTTTAAACTTATGGCCTAGTTCTTAAGTTGAACTGAGTTGGCTCCAATTGTCTTTGCCATTGATAAAATGATCAGTTTTATCCACGGCTAAATCTGCAAAGGTGGTCGTTATTACAACCATCGTAGGTCGTCTAACTCTGATCCTTTGTAACTCCATATTCAACTGATAGATTTTCTCTAGAAGACTTCCTATTAACTCGCAGGAAGCTATTTCACCAGATTGGTAATTAATCCCTCAGTTTGCAACTCTTGGTTGCTCTCTGGGTAGTAGGTTTCAGTAACCATTGTAGTATTGAGAATCACACCATGGTTACGACATGTTCCGAAACCCAGTTGCAACACTCCGTGAAGTTCGTTGGCTTCTTTGGTAGTGTCTTTATGGAGTTCTAGACTCTTCTGGTGGAGATAAATGTATTGGTCTCTAGTAGAGATCCTTTACCATTTGATACCATCTCTTTGTACGAAATCGTCCTGTTACCTATGGCTCATGCCCAAAATGTCATGTCTTTGAAGCCAAGTAAGTCTCTGAGTAGTTGACGGAATCACTCCGTTCTACTTCTCAGACCTAGCCGAAGGTCCCCTCTCATATATCCTGTGAACGAGATCCGGTCGGTCGGACGGCGATGACGTATATGGTGTTATTCTAACACCTTCAATTCTGTAGTAATATAGTCACAGGACACAACTGAGATTAATATATATGATTACGTGCGGGCCCTGTAAGGGAGCCGGAGGGTATTGTTGGAGACCATGGATTCCGATTCCGAGTGGGATTACTCTACTTAGCGTGGTTCCTAGGTATTGAGTTCTGGTATTCCTAACAGGAAGAGTATTATCAGAAATGAGATTAGAGATATCTATTAGGAGGGAGTTGGTACCATATGTTACCTACCAGGTTGTAGTAGATAGAAGAGGTAGACAAAAATCAAGTAGTAGTTGGCAAAGTAGTGAGATGCATGTAATTACATACTCACAGAGTATTTCATTTTACTGAAAGTGGTGACATCTACATAATTTTGTATCAAGATTGACAACATAGATATGACTATTGGGTTACTAGACTTGGCCAATGGTTGGAGAAGCAAGTTGAATATTGTTATCTCGTACCCATATATTCTGTAGTTCCAAATATAATAGGTAAATTTTGATAATGTGGGGTTTATATTTATTAGCTTTCTAAAGTCTCAAAAAGTGAGGTACCATTTATCTCTGTCAAATGCTATTTAATAGCTCAATAATTGATAGTTGCCGACTAATTTTTAAAGTTTTGTTAGCAGATTCAACTATGTTTTATGTGTCATGACTAAATCGTCTAGGTCTTTCAGGAAAAAATGCCGAAGTGCAAAGAACTGGACTAATCTTCTAAAGATATTCCTCTGAGTCTGCAGCAGGTTTTTTTGTTCTCAACTTTCTTATTTCTGTTTTATAGTTTGCCAGTAATGTTGTTTGTATAATTACTTAAAACAACCTCTCAGTTTCTTTTGTATATTTTCTAATAAAATTTTTCTTAAGATATTGACAACAATAGGCTCACAATACAGCTGATGACAAGATTTTAAAGGCCTTGTAACGATCCCTCTCTGGATAGTTAGTGCTTGGCGATGGGGAGCGATACTTCTCTTCCTGTCTTCTTCTTTCTTTGTCTTACGATAGATTTATGCCTCTGCCTACGTTACCGATAGTACAAGACCCTAGTCTTCTACCGGGAACGCCTATCGTAAACTTTCTCTAACTCTTCTTCGTAAGGCGCCTTCCTTGGCGTAACGATAACATTGCAATAAAGATAACGATCGTAAAGGTGTTTTATATTCGTTAAAGTAATAAGTAGGAAAAGTACTTAGAACAAAGCGTGAAGAACCTATCTTCCTCGGCCGCATTGGCCTCCTTATATAGTGTTCTTCCCACTTTTAGTCATGTGACCTAAAGTGGTCACATGTGCGAAACCAAATCATAACAACTAGTCATATGACCAAAATGATCACATGCTCAAAACCCATGACCTCATAGCGAGGTCATGTGCAAAACTCATAAACCAATCATAATACAATAAACAAGTCATATGACTTGACTGAGTCATATGCACGAAACCCATGACCTCATAATGAGGTCATGTGCGAAACATCAATCATATGCGCAAGGCTTACCTATAAGGCACACTCATAAGGCATACTCATCAGGCACATGTCTCATGACTCATACTTGAGCCATGTGCGAAAGCATCACAAATCCCACACATAACAAATCATATAACCCGAATAGGTCATATGTGTGAAACAATAACATACCTATGACTCATAACTATGCGTTACGTGAAAATCCTTTTCCTCACTAAGCCATGTTCGTGACATTAGCTCCCCTCCTCCTAAGCCTGAGTCCCATCAGGCTTTTTCTCCCAGTTTCAATAGTTCCCGTTCTGCCGAGCGCATGGTCCTTCTCAGCCTGTGGAACTTTTCGTCTGCCGTCCTCCATATGACCCTTACTGATTCCAGAGTCAGATTCGCCATCTCGATCGTGTGCCGCTGATTGTCGTTCAGCTGTCTAAGCTCCACGATCATTTTGTTATTTGCCGAAATTATGGCCTCGGCTTGGCCCAGTTGTTCTCGGAGTCCCCAGATCTGCCTGTTTAGGCTCCTGACATCCGGTTCCGTGTCTGCGGAGGAGTTTTAGGCCCCTCCCTTCCTGGACCACGTCCTCGCGGCCCATGCCTTTCTGGCATCTTCTCCTTCCAACTCTTTCCTGCTTCCATCTTTCTGCGGGTAGAATCCCGCAGATATTTTCTGTGCCCTGTGCATTCTGCACCCATTTCTGAAGCATTGTTGCCAATGCTTTATAACGTAGTCCGGGCTTGGGCCACGCTTTCAACATTCCCTCGGGAATCATCTCGAGCCTTCTTTGTCGCCAAAGTGTATTTGGCACCTGTCATCGTAGCATACCGTCCATGACATGGCATTATGTTGTGCTTGTTGTTCCCTTTCCTTAAGTTCCTCGTCGGTTGGCCCCATGAATGAGTATTCGGGGCTGGTGGGTGTGGTTTGGCGGGGGCTATCGCCCTAGCCCTCGTGTGGTTGCAATGGTACGGGAGCTTTTCCCTCGCCTTTGTCTTGATTGAACATGATCGTCACCTGGGCCAGGCTTGTCTGGGTATCGTTGGTGGAAGGTTGAGATGGCATCTTGTGCATTTTCGAAGTTGTGTGTGAAGTACCAAATTTTATCGTGTTCAGGAGAATATCCTGTCCACTTGGCTCGGTATTGGAGGTGACTGTGGAAGAAACGGGAATCGACTATTTCGTCGAGCTCGTATTCTGGTTCTCCGTCGAGTTCGATTGGAGGGGGAGGAATAAGTGTTTGTGAAGGAAACTTATTGTCGTTGTGTAATTCGAGGAGTGAGATGTGGAATGTATTGTGTATTCGGATTGA